CCTCCCCAACCTCTCTTGGACCATGGGCTTATGAGGTCAGACTCCATTAACATTGTGGGCTGCAGGGTCTCCTGGTGGTGGCGTCTTTTGGCATGCTCCTTCCTCCCTGACCACCAAGTCTGACTCTCCGTCTTCAGGGAGACTCCTCTGTGTAATGGTTACCCCACAATAAACCCTTTTAAAAACACGTCTAGCCCATGCACAGGAGCGCTCCTACATTTGCAACTAGGAGGCGGTGTGGCTCGTGGAAACAGCAGGGACGTCCCTCTTGTGATTGTATTCTCATCTCAAACTTCAAATGCTTCATGAGGAATGTTGTGTAAGTGCGGGAAAGCAAAAGCGCCATGGGTGAAATAAGAAGGAATCCACAGAATCCCTGCAGAGACGGGTCAGGATCTGGATGGAGGACCTGTTTCTTTTCATAAAAGATTGTACTAACCAACAAAACCAAAAATCAAGGAGGGTCCACAAAAAACTCCCAGGCCTGGTCACAGAAAGTTGGCAGCCATGCTGCGTGGTGCCCCCTGCCTTCACTGTAAAGGTGTTTGGTTGAACCACACCAAGCCACAGGGAAGACTTGGCGCAGGGGCTGCAGGGCCAGCAGGCCAGTGGGCCAGGCATGAGACCACCCGGCCTCGATGAAGCCAGTGGGCGAGATGTGAGACTGGACGCCTGCACCTCTGCTTTTCTTTCTCCAGCCTTAATCAGCCCAGGACCTGCCTAGGGAATGGTGCTGCCCACAGAGGGGAGGATCCTTCCATATAGATTAGCTCAATTAATAAATTAAGACACCATCTCTTCACCCACCCACCACACACACCCATAGGCCTACCAAACGGAGACAATCCCCTCAGTTGTCATCCTGGGTGATTCCAGGTGGTGTCAAGTTGAGAATTAAAGCTGACTTTAGGTAGGGTGACATCTCAGTGACACGTACCATTTCCGTAACTATTTCTAAGGCGTTTTCTGGACGATCCAGGTGTGGCAGGAGGGTGAGGCGTTTCCTCAACATTGGAGGAGGCTGTGGTGTTCTCTGCCTCTCTGAAGCTCACTTGGGTAAGTTGCACTGGCCTCGTGACTTCCTGATGCCCCAAGCACGGGGACCGCTTCCGCTGCCCCCTCCCACCCTCCACTAGAAGCCACCTGGATCCCCAGAGCAGCCTGAGGCTGAGCGCTAGGCGCACAGAGCCTCAGAACATCTTGAGAGAGCTGGAGGGAGAAAGCCCACTGAGGAGAGGCTGCTCCTCTCCCTGAGCGGTTTCCCCCAACCTTGAACCCAGGGAAAGTCTATTTGCAGGTGATGGATTGCAGACATCTGGTCTGTGCTTGACTGACACAGCCAGTGCACATGGGTCTTCTCTTGTCTCCGAGTGCCCTCTACTGGCAAAGGGAACAAACTCCTCTTGGGCCATGATGGCACCCAAGAGCTCAGACATACACACCTATTTCTCCTGCAACCCCTTATCTTAAATGAATCCCCCTCGTACGCGTCCGGGGATTCATACTGACGAGTCCGTCTACCAGCCTTTGCCCAGATGGCATCTAGGTTCTGAGAGCAGTATTGTAAGGGAGGTCTGTGTATATTTCTCACCCACAAGGCCTGCGATCCACCTGTCTTCCCAGGCAGTCTGTGGTGGTGCGAGACCGGACACGTCTCTCCTGAGACTCCTCAGCTGCCATCTCTCCTTCCCCCCACTGCTCCGTGGAGCCCTGGCCTGTGAGGGAGGTGAGTCCTGGGTGGGACCGTGTAACAGCCTCCGCACTAGCCCCTGTAAAACCATCCGTCCTTGGATCCTAAGATTCACCCCAGGCTTTCCCATAACCTGGAACTCAGACCGCTGGAAAAGATGAGCGTGTCAGTGTCCAACACATAATATGTATTGGGTCCTCTCCTACTCCTTTCTCTCCTTGTCCGCTACACAGACCTCTGCTCAGTCCCGGTCACAGGAGATTGGCTAGAGAGCCTGGGAGGGCACAGGACAGGGTGGGGGTAAGCATTGGAGCAGCAGAAAAATACAAAAAACAAAAAACAAAAAACGGCCCAGCAAGTTTCCCCTCCAGGTCAGGTTTCACAGCAAACTGCGGTTAGCCTTTTTCCATCCTGGTAGCTGGAAACCAAGAACTTGCCATCCTCATTTCCTGGTTGTTTCATTGGCCTCTTCAGGGTCATTTGTCCTCGGGTAGAACAATCTAGGCTGGGGGTAGTACATGAATTGGAAGGGGTGGGGAGGTAGGAGTGGGGTTGAGAAGTTGTGGAGTTGCCAGTGAATATGATTAAAACACATTGTATGAAATGCTCAAAGGACTGAGGATTTTCTTCTTTTTTTAAAGATACAGACATGTGGGCCCAGGAAGCATACTGACTTGGTCGCAGGTGCAGGGGGTTCCTGCTCCACACTTGAGGAGCCGAGCAGGCTCCTTGCGGCTTGCTCAGCCGGCTTTATTACTCTACGCTCCGACAATGAGCCCCCTCATGCATCAGCGTGGGGCTTGGTGTTTAATGTGAGGGACAAGAGGAGCCCAGCGTGGCACCCGGGTGGCACCAGAGCCCTCGCCATCCTCTCCCTCCACGGTGGCTCTCGGTGTGGTTTAAATGTGAGCCGTCCCCCGTCGGTCTGTGTGTTTGAACACTTTGGTCCCCCCAGCATGTGGCTCTGTGGGGGGAGGTTGTGAAGGAGCCTTTAGCACGTGATGCCTCGATGGAGGAAGTTATGTCGCCGGGGACTGGCCTTGCGGCTTGCTGGCCCAGCCTCACTCACCTGTCCTGCCCCGATGTGATACACTGTATTCTCATCCCTGCTGCTGTCCTGCCCCGATGTGATACACTGTATTCTCATCCCTGCTGCTGTCCTGCCTCGGTGTGATACACTGTATTCTCATCCCTGCTGCTGTCCTGCCCCGGTGTGATACACTGTATTCTCATCCCTGCTGCTGTCCTACCCCGGTGTGATACACTGTATTCTCATCCCTGCTGCTGTCCTGCCCCGATGTGATACACTGTATTCTCATCCCTGCTGCTGTCCTGCCCCGGTGTGATACACTGTATTCTCATCCCTGCTGCTGTCCTGCCCGGTGTGATACACTGTATTCTCTTGCAGCTTGCTGGCCCAGCCTCACTCACCTGCCCGCAGTGTGTCCCTGCTGCTGTCCTGCCCTGGTGTGATACACTGTATTCTCTTGAGGAGCAGGCTACAGTAGGCTCATCCCACCTTAGACTGCTTCCTGTCTCTACTCAAAAGCACTCTGCCCCTCACCGGCTGCTCCTTCTGCTCAAACAGACGTTCCTGCCACAGATCTCACATGGTCCTCTCCGGAGAGGCTCTTGTGTACTGCTAATGTGAAGCAGCCCTCGCGTCAACCCTCCGCTTGGCTCCTGGTGGTCTGTGGGCGCACCCTGTTCTAGGTAGATCAGCTCCAAAAGAACAGAGATGTCCTTACCAGCACCTAAGACGTTGCCTGTATCTTAGCTCGGGTTTCCATTGTGCAATAGAACACCGCGACCAAAATCCAAGCTGGGGAGAAAGGGGTTTATGTGGCTCACCCTTCCGCATCACAATTCATCACGAAGGGAGTCAGTACAGGAACTCAAACAGGGCAGGAACCTGGGGGCTGGAGCTGATGCGGAGGGAAGCTGCTTACTGACTTGCTCAGCCCACTTTCTTATAAAACCCAGGACCACCTGCCTGGGAATAGCACCATCTGCCAATGGGCTGGGCTCTGCCTCACTGATCACTAATTAAGAAAATGCCCTATAAGCTTGCCTGCAGTCAGAGCTTAAGGAGCCATTTCCTTAATTGAGGTTCCCCCCCCCTTTCAGATAACTTTAGCTCATGTTATGTTAACATGAAACTGCCCCACAGTAAGTGCTCAAAAACCATCCCCAGGCCTGGCGTTGGTGGCGCACGCCTTTAATCCCAGCATTCGGGAGGCAGAGGCAGACGGATCTCTGTGAGTTCGAGGCCAGGCTGGACCGACAGCCTCCAAAACAGAGAAACCCTGTCTCGTAAAACCAAAAAAAAAAAAAACAAAAAACAAAAACAAAAAAAAAAAAACCATCCCCAGAGCATCTGTTGTCCCACCTCCCAGACTGAAAAGGGAAAGGCAAGTTAAGTTAGTTTCTGGAGGAGGCCATCACTGTCAAATCGTTGGACCTCACATTCGTGATGCTATGCCCCCAGAGCCCCTGACCACCATTCATGATGTCACACCCTACAATGTCCAAAACATTCATGTCCATGTCACACCCTCAGTGTCCCTAACACTCATAATGCCACGCCCTCACGGTGTCCCTGACACACATGATGCTTTGCCCCCAGTGTCCCTGACACTTGTGAGTCCATGTCCTCAGTGTCCCTAACATCTATGAAGCCACACCCCCAGGGTCCCTGACACTCATGATACCACACCTCCCAGTGTTTACATCCTTAGTGAGTTTATCCCTTCCTCCTCACACTTCCTTAAGTCTTTGGGCAGGTCTCTGTGCAAGGAAACTTGATGATATCCACCTGGAGATTCGCTCTGTGACGTGCACACCCGTGTGTGTGGGAAACCACTTAGACGCAAGCTTTAATGGTAAAAGATGATCATCAGCTCGGCGACCAACGGTGGGGGGGGGGACTGGGCTATGGAAGAATGTGTGTGTTCGCGATGGAGCAACGTGCGGTCCTGAAAGATGCATCAGGAGACGGTGCGCGAGACGGTAGTACATGAAGTGAATGTCTCATTTACTGCCCCCCAAGAGCCAGACGTCATCAACTCACAAAGAGGCTAATCTCCTGAGTGAAGACACGTGTCAAGGCAGAGAGACGGCTTTGGTGAAGAGCACAACTGCTCTCGGAGAGGCCCTGAGTTTGGTTCCCAGCACCCGCGTCAGGGAGCTCACAACCACCTGTAACTCCAGCTCCGGGGGACCCACTGCCCTCTTCTGGCCTCTACAAGCAACTGCACCCAGGTGCGCACATCCACACACAGGCACGCTAAGTGAAAGACAAAAGTCTCCAGCCTTTTGAGCTTGTTTTATTGGTATTCATTAGCGAATAAAATTTTGTTGCTGATCTTGATGCACTACAACGCACTTTTTGGTAGTGGTTGCTTAATGTTGATCACCGGTTTATTAACTATACTAAATATCACAACCTCTGGCGTGCCGTTTTTCACACGGGTGTTTCCAGTGCAGGTGGGTAGCTCCTCTGGATGCGTCCGTTCAAAGGCAATGGTTGTCATCCCCCCTTGCTATTCTACCTACTGCTTTAAAATACATTCAGACAGAAGGGTAAGTTACTCCGAGTGACTGCACGCCCACAACAGCCAGGAGAGCAGGGAGGGAGTGTGACGAGCCGGCACTCTCGTGTTCCGAGAATAAATAGTTTGAAATAGTGGGACTAAAGCTTGCTGTTTGGGGGGACCTTCTCAAAGCATCCTCAGTGGACATAAAGTGGCCGTCACTCCATCCAAGGACGCATCTTTTGCTGGGCGGGGGGAGGGTCCATGTGACAATTTCTTGTACACAGGGTGCTACCCTTTCACAGATGTCTAGGGCAGGTGATCATGTGACACACAGATGTACAGGTCATATTCAGACAAAAGTAAATAAATATTATGTCTGGGGTGGTGGGTCTCTCTCTCTCCGTCTCTCTCTCTCATACACACACACACACACACACACACACACACACTGGCTGGAGCTGGAAGGGGAGGAAATATATGATTAAAACACAGCACACACAGATAATAAATAAAGTCCACAACTGAAATGCGTGACAGCAACAGGCCTAGGCCGCTCACTTCCTCAGGCCTTTTCCATTCATAAGCACCTCTGATTTTTTTTTCTTTTCCTATGGGCAGAAATGGGATGAGGAGACAAAGGGCTTGTTCTGAAAGGAGAGGATTAAAAAAAAAACTGTGGCACCCGCCTTTAATCTCAGCACTCGGGAGGCAGAGGCAGGCGGGCCTCTGTGAGTTCAGGACAGCCTGGTCCTACAGAGGGGGTTCCGGGACAGCAAAGGATACACAGAGAAACCCTGTCTCGAAAGATTTAACCATCTCGTCCCCTGTCCCCTTGATCCTTTGTTACCGTGAAAACTGGTCATACATCAACCTGGCTGTGACACTGGGTCCCAGAAATGAGCTGTTATTAGCAAGTTAGAGTGCGTCATTTGCAACTTGGTGTCAGAGAACCACCAAGAGAAACTGTCAGTACTGAGACTTCCCTGCTAATAAAATTCTTAAAAAAGGAAAAAAAAAAAAAACAAAAAAAACAGATCACATAGAATACAGAGGGGCTGCCTGGTGGTGCATCAGAGTGTAAATACATTCTTTTCAGATCAGGCTGTGAGCCTGACAGCTGATGACAACACACAGGGTGACTTGGAGTCACATCCTGAGAACGGACGGCCCACCAGAGCAGAACAGCGCAGACCTCGATGAAGCTGGACCACCTACAACAGAAGAACAGCTCTCTGATGGCCAGCGGCACTGCCGGCTGTCACCCAGGGTGTGGAATGCACTGCGACCCGCGCCACGTACGGCGCGTGCAACACCAACGGCAGTCTTATGCAGAGTTCACCAGATTCCTATCCATGGGATAAGAACACCCTTGGGAATTTCAGTGCTTCTCAAAAAGTAAAGAAGAAAAGGACGCCACCTTCCCCCGGGTGAGCTCAGGCGACATCGTGAGTGTATGACCTTGTAGGTCTATCACTTCCAGAAGACTGGAAGAGAGAAGACGCAAGGTCTCCAAGGCCTGTGTACACGCTGTATGGAGTCCTACCCCCCCCCAACGAGGCACAAAGTTGATTTGTTTAGCTCAGGAGAAGTAGACCTCAGAGGGGGAAGGGTGTGAGCGCTCTGTGGGGGGGGGGGACCAGGAGGTGAGGAGCAGACAGAGGAAAACATGGTCTCCTGCACGGCAGCGATCCCTGGCCTCACCGCAGGCTAGTCTGTTTGGGGAGCTTAGCACCCATTAAGATGCCCGAGGTGAGGATCACGGGGGCTCTCATCTGCACGCTGGACCCAACCATGGTGGGGAAGCTGCGATTCCGCCGGATGCCACTGGGGCACCCCAGAGTCAGGCCCTCGGGGACCAGACCCCCGGGGACCAGAGCCTGTGCTGGCCCTGTGGCTCCACAGAGGAGAGGTCCCTGATCCTCAGTCAAGGTGGGGATATGTGGTCGTCCTGAGTTCACCGCTCTGGCCACCCCAAACCTCCTGACTTTGTCCACAAGGTTGAGGTTGGAGACAGACACGTCCGTCTGGCTCTCGCTGCTCCTCACCGGCTTCTTTTCCCGAACCTCCCTCAGGATGGAGCTGGCGGGCTTGGAAGCCAGGAAGTTGTTGTAGGGAGGGCTCGTGCACTTGAACTCGAGAGAGGGTGGCGAGGCCACGGGCGTCTGCATGGGGGAGTTTGGCGGGGTGGATGGGATCACGGCCATCCTAGGGGTGTAGGAGTGGAGGAGGGAGCCCCTGCCGGCTCTGTCCCAACTCTGGGGGTCATACACAGCCGCTGAGATGCCTCGTTCCTTCAGCAACCATACCAGTCCGAGGGACGTGCTCATGGTGGTTGTGGACTCGCGGATATTTGTGAAGGACTCGGCCAGGCTCAGTCTCCGGGGGGTGCACGGAGTGGCCACCGGGGTGGGTTTCAGGTGGCTGGTGCTGCTACAAGCTGGAGCTGGGGCTGAGTTAAGGCTGAAAGGGAAAAGGGGGGGCTGGTCACTCGTCAGAAAGGCCACAGGCTGCTTAGGAAGGATCGGCGGCCCCGCCTCCCGCAGGGTGTGCGCGCAGAAGGAGCTCGGGGTAGGAGACGGCACCCTGTGCCCTCAGGAACTCTGTCTGCATCTGCCCCTCATTTCTTATTGTGGGGGGAGCTTACATAAGACTGTGCTCCAGGTTAACAGGAAGCTGCCATGGTCCCCTCTGCTTATCCCTGGCAGGTGCATAGAGCGGTCCCCTCTGTACATAGAGACCCGGGCTCCAGGGCCAGCTGTTGGCTCACTCGGTGTCACACTGGACTAGGAAGCTGCCAACCCTGGATCTGATGCCACAGTGAAGTGTCCCCACTGTCGTCGGGGCGGGAAGCAGACCCTTCAACAGCTCAGTTACCCCGAATAGGTCTCTCCCCAATCCCCAATCCTTGATCTCCCTGAGACACAAACCAGAGCTCTGAGTATGAGAGCCCTGCTGTAGGAGCAGCACAGGTGACCCCAGCACGGTGCTCATCCTCCACCCCCCCCCAGCTGTCCTAGCTCCTTTTGCCCAAACTCCTGGGGATACGGTGGAACGACACCTCACGCGGTCCGTCTGTCTGGGCTCTGTAATGCTCGAGGCCCTAGAATGTGTGACGCCTATTGAGTGACCATCACAGGAAGCTGTGCTCATTCACCATGCCCTGGTGTTTGGAGACTTTGAGGCCACAGCATCTGCCCTCCAGCTGGGAAAGCCACCGGGATACAGGGGGAGCTTCCCTAGCAACGGGCCAGCTGAGCGGTCCCCACGACTTAAGGCGGAGCGACCTCTCCCTAGGAGGCCCAGGTACCTTGGGCAGGTGCCAGCTAAAAGAAGGGAAGGAACAGGGCCCGTTCTGGAGAAGGCCCTCGGAATGATGAGGGGGCTCTGCTCCCTAGAGGGAGACAGCTAGCTCAAAGGCAAGGCTCCCCAGGGGTTGGTGGGCCCGGGGTGGGAGTCACGGGACAGCTCATCTCACACTAGCTGGGGGAAGGGGGGAGACTCCGCAAAGCAGGGAGCACGTGGAGAGACCACGGAGACTCCTGGGATTGAAGAGGTGGGGTTTGCAACAGGCACGGAGGGGGTTTTTACAAATGTTGACAGCTGCTGGAAGGTAAGAATGTTCTAGACTAGAAGGCTTATTGACACAGTCATCCCCAGAAAGGTTTTCAGGGTTTTTTGTTCCACTGCGTCTCTTCCCAACTCAGGCAAGACAGGCCCCTCCCCTCCTCACTTTCCTGGTCCCCTGTGGCCACATGGGACTTCTGGGGGAAGACATACTTGGGGGGGGGGCACTCTGAGCCTATGGCTTCAGCCAAAGGTACACATTTAGTCACTCCCAGCTTCAAAAGGGACATCCTGTGACTTTAAGAATAACCCTTTCATAAACCAAGTCAGGCCTGGAAGCCAGCATCTCCCGGGGCAGCAAGGGAGATGGAAACAGAGCAGAGATCCAGGGATCCCGTTGGGTGAGGCCTTCGGTAAGGACTTCATTAGTGTCGGCACTCGGCTGGGTTAGAAGGGACGATGGCCAGGGCCATGTTAACCAGGCACAGCCACAGAGACACACGGAAGCCTTTGTCCCGGGGTTAGTGGCAGCCACACTTGCACACACAGCTCCTTCGCCGTGGCCCTGCAGGAGCAGGCTCCGTTGGCCCTGTGCTCACCCCCTGCCTTGCCCGTGGGCTCAGACTCTCTGCCCTACATGTCCTCTCAGCTCAACAGGGCCAATGGCTGCTTCGTCGTCATCCTCACAAGACCTGCGGAGAATTATTCAAGTTTAAGGCGCTCCTCGGGGTGGCCGGCCCTTCTCGCCTCCGTCCCTGGCACCGGCCTCTAACTGCCATCTTGTTTGACTGTGCCACATAGAAAGGGGTTATAAGGGGATCTCTCTCTCTCTCTCTCTCTCTCTCTCTCTCTCTCTCTCTCTCTCTCTCTCTCTCTCTCTCTTTCTCCTGTACTGTGAGAGACCATTCCCCCGTTCTTCTGCAGAGGCAGGAACGGGAGCCATATGGCTAAAATCAAGCCAGGCAGACCAGCGTCTCTCCAGATGGTGTGCCCAAGGGACACGAGCCAGAGTAGACATGTGGTCTCTCCACAGAGTCTTTTCCACACTGGCCATTAGGGTTTGGCTTGACGGGCATTTCCTGGAGGCTGCTCCAGGGCAGCGAGGGTTTCCACAGATCTCTGTAACTCTACCGTGAAAAAACTCCACGCTCCATTGGCAAGCTTTGGGACGACAACCATGCCGGTGCATCCCCAGGGCCTGCGGAAAGGCTGACGTCAGCCGGGAAAGGGGAGTCCTGGAATTCACAGGGGACAGTGACAGTGGCTTTCTCAGCCCGCCCCCTCTGGATCTGAACAAACAAGGCTCGGAACGAAAGACGGGACCCAGAATGGGTGGCTACAAGTGTGTGTGTGTGTGTGTGTGTGTGCGCGCGCGCGTGCATGTGTGTGTGTGCGCGTGCGCGCACACGCGCTTGCATATGCATGCGTGCATGGGTGTGGGCACAGGATCACACATAGAGGCCACAGCTACTGTCCCTTAGGCATCATCTACCTTGTGTTTGAGACAGGGTAGGTCTCCCTGGCCAGAACCTCATCAAGCAGGCTAGGCTAACTGGACAGTAAACCCCAAGGACCATCCAACTAGGATTAGAAGCATGTAGGTAGGTGATAGAGACCAAACCCAGGTCCCATGTTGTAACTGGCTTCTTTCCCTCCCTTGACAGGGTCTTACTATATACCTCTGGCTGACCTGCAATTTACACAAAGCAGACCAGACTGTCACCAAACTCACAAAAGACCCGCCTGCCTCTGCCTCCCGAATCCCGGGGATTAAAGGTTGTGCGCCGCCACACCTGGCTTGGAGTTGGCCTCCGAATGAACCTCTTGACTTCCCTCATCGCACCTTTCCAGAAAGGCCACTCTCCAACTCGCACTGCCCCCACCCGCCCCAGAGCTGTGGCCCCTTACCTTGGCGTGACCCGCGTGAGCTCGTCCGAGGGGTGCAGGATTCGGCAGGTGGTGAACGTGAAGGTGGAGTTGGTCTGTGACATGCACCTCCCAGGGTAGTGCGCTGCATCGGGAGAGGAAGGACAAACAACGTTTCCTTGTACCCAGACAACACCGCGACGCGCATCAGACATCCAGCAGGACCCTCCACAGACGCGTGAGAGGCGATGAGCTACCTTGCGAGCTGGATCTGGGCGAGGAAGTCAAGACACCGATGTTCTGGACCGAAGGTGGCCCCTCAAAACCGGCCATGTGTTTTTGAGCACTGGTCTGCAGAGCATCGAATCCCAGCTTCCGGCCCAATCCAGACAGGGTTCCTCATCGGGGTTCTTGGGCCAGCAGTGGATCCAGTTCCCAGGGGGCGGGGTGGGGAGGGCCAACGGGCCTCCGTGGATTAATTTAGTTTTCCACCTCAGGGCTCAGTTCCTGCTTTCCTCCAGCATCGTCTGCTGTGCGTTTCTTTTCACGGACAATGCCCTGCCCGGAGGGAGGGGTGGAGTGGGCAGGGAGAGGCGCTTGGTACTGGAAGCAGGGCACGGGTCACGAAGCCCCCTTTCCTGTCCACACGGAAAGGGGCTCAGGGAGGCTGGCTCCACTGCTGCCCACCTGCGGTGGTTACGGTGGGAGGCGGCCTCAGCAGCCCCAACAACAACGTCCAGGAGTTCCGGAACCCAGTCTGGCACTGACACACCCATCGCTGCCCCGATACTCCAGCGGCTTTCTTCCCCGCGGCCCCTAGGATCCCCGTTTTATTTACTACGACCGAGACAGGCCGTTCTAAGCGTTGTTGTTAGGGCAGCTGATGACCACGGGTGGAGCAAAGCAAATCATGTTGAGTGGAAGGACCATGCACCAGAAGCCAGCGAAGGAACAGGGAGGGGGTCTACCAAAGACGTCGTGATTGTCAAGGTCGTCCTAACTCATAACTTGAGCATCAGCGGGAAAGAGAAAAAAAACAAAAACAAAAACAAAACCAAGTGTGTGTCTGTGGAGGGGTGCATCAGAACACATGCACGGTGGGAAGTCACGAGATGAGCACCCACCCCGCTACCCAGCCCTGCAGCAGCTCAGCCCCCACAGGCCTCCTGGGAAAAGACTCCAGACTTCAGAGACCAAGACACCCAAAGGCCGTGAAGATTCAAACTACTAGAATCTTCTTGTGGCAAGTTTTGTCTTGGGTTTGAAAAGGAAAAAAAAAATTTGGCTGTGTCTTAAAAGAAAACCAGAAACCAAGTGAAGCAAACACAAGAAAATAATAATAGTAATAAATAATAATAATAATAATAATAATAATAATAATAATAGGTGAAAATGGGTTGGAGACACACAGATCGAAGGCAGGGCGGACAAATAAATCCAGAGCACAAGTATAGTGGGAATGGCTAAAAGAACTGGGCAAATTAGTGTGTGCTGGCAGCATGACCCAGCTCTGTGTCCACGAGGACCCAGTGACACCTAGGGTGACAGCCAACCTCGAGCAGAGCCTTAGTGGGAGGCACAGAAGGAGACAAAGCAAATAAGACATAGAAATGGCCTTTGTGGGAGCCGGAGAGATGGCTCAGGGCTTAAGGGCGCTGGCTGCTCTTCCAGGGGACCTGGGTTCGATTCCCAGCACCCACACGGCAGCGGTAACTCCAATTCCAGGGGACCCGACACCCTCACGCAGGCAAAACGCCAATGCACATAAAATTAAAAAAAAAAAAGAAACAATGGCTTTAGCGTTGGGTGCAAGCAGAGGTTCCCGAGCTCAGGTGACTGAGCACACGCCACAGAGCGCCAACAAAAAAATGGATCGAGCTCTGAAGAGGAGACAACCGAACAGTCACAAGTCTTGGACAGTGACAAAGTCCAGGAAAAAGAACAACAGGCAGCCTGAGGAGAGGGTTAGTGGGGAAAGACAGAGAGGGAAAGGAGTAAACAGATCATTAAGACAGAATGGTGGTAGGAGATAACATTAAAAATAAACAAGGCAAGGAGGGTTAGATTTAGAAATGTAGCCCCACTCGAACACGTGGCCAGAATGTGCCCCTCCCCAGCCCATTAGGTGTGCAGTGTCCAAGGACATTTTAGAGATGGAATTGAATCACCAGAAGTAAAACCCATCACATCCAAATGAGTTTGGGAGATAAGAAAAGGCTGCTAAAAATTCTCATGTCCCCACTCCCCGGGAGCAATCGATAGCTTTGAGGACCAAGAAGACTGATTATCTGAAGAGCCAAAGCCAGAGACTGGGCTCCGCCACAATACCACTGGGATGCCTGGGCGCTCGGACTCTCGGTGTCACCACGGACTGCCGGGACGAAGCTGCGCCTCCCTTCCTTGGGGCACAATATAGAGACAGTGAGTTTCTCCACGAAGGGCTCTCCAGAGCCCCTCCTCTTTGTCCCAGAGAAGCAAAACATTGAGCCCTGATTCTTGGCTTTAGGGAGCAAACAGATACGGAAACACACTTGGCAGAGTTGGGGCTTGAATCCAAAATTGGAGTTGCCAAGACCACACTACACCCAAAACCCAACGCCCAGCTCGACTGCAAGTGCAAACGCTATTTACCTCACAGGCTTCATTTTGGGGGTGCAAAGGGCAGCGTTTCTTGTCTCAGCCTGACGGGAGGGCTTCGGGCATCATGGGGGAATGGACACATGGTACATCTGACCGCAGCCTAAGGCCGAGTGGCAGGTTGCAAGTAGGTTCAAGGTTACTGCTTGCAACTAAGCAAGCCAGGCACTTCCAGAGGAAGATTCCTGTGTTAATTTGGGCTCTGCGCTCACTAACACAATAGCCCACTCTGGTTACCTGACCACATTTTATATGGAAGTAGATTTTCCCCCTTTCATTTTACAACCCTAATCCTTACATTTAGCTGGTCTTTTGCTAGAGGTTTTGATGCTGACTCAAGAACTGGTAAGGTTTAAAATCAACTAAATCTTGGCGAGCCACAGGCTAGGTCATCCCTGACACCGCTCTGGGTCTCCACAGAGTTGGGTGGTGGTGGTGGTGGTGGCTGTTGCCCTGCAGAGCGCTGAAGCCTCCCAGGACTGTTGCTTCCCCACAGCCCAAAGTGCTGAGAAGACAGAACCATGGCCAGACGCTCAGGGGCCCTACAGGGACTCTGCCCCCCCCCCCCGGGCGACCATGTTTGGACTTAGGTTTCATTCAGCCCTATCTTCTGTGTGTCCTCTGGGGAGGGGACAATGCACCGGAGAAGCCATTTTCCTTTCTGAGCAGCACCCTGGAAGGCAGCCGCACACGCAGAGGCACTGAAGCCTGTGGTTGCACCTGGAGTGTTGGGACGCTCAGACAAACCTGAGCTATTTCACAGACCTTTGAGGGTAACACTGGCCACGCCACACATTCAGCCTGGGCTCATGAGTCCCAGGCTGCCCGGGAGCTCACCAGGTGGCCTCGGGTGACCTTGACCCTCCCGACTTCACCTCCTAAGTGCAGAGACTACAGGTGGGCGCCATGCCCTGGTTTACAGGTGCTGGGCATAGGCTCCAGGGCTTTGTGCTCTACACACTGAACCTCATCTTCAGCTCCAAGACATGTCTGTTAAAGGTTGCATAAATAGCTTCTAAAAATGTCAAAAACTTTTTTTTCAACTGTATCTGGAAATCTTGAGAAAGGGACCCCATCTTTACAGGGCACAGAGCACCTGCTGTGCTCCCCCTAGGAGAAGTAGGCAACTGGGGTGACAGACAGAAGCATAACCCCCCCCGCCCCAGCTTGACTTAACCATGTGCGTGTGAAGCTGCTGGCGTGTGACTGGGACCTGCTGTGCACTTTCTATGAACTCCTACACACACACACACACACACACACTCACCACACACAGAGGCACATGCACCACACACACACAGACACCCTCCCACACAGACACATGCACCACACACAGACACACACACGCACCACGCAGACACCTCACACACATACACACCACACACATATACAGACACACACACACAGACAGACACCTCACACACACACACCACACACATACACAGACACCCCCACACACACAGACACATGAACCACACACATACAGACACACGTACCACACACAGACCGACACCTCACATACACACACCACACACATATACAGACACACACACAGACACCTCACACACACATACCATACACATATACAGACACACACACAGAGACAGACACACCGCACACACACACACACATACATACAGACACCCCCACACCACACAGACACCCCCCAAACACACATACATACAGACACACACACAGACAGACACACACACACGCAGACACATACTTCCAGGAGTGGCCACCACATCAACAGTGGCACCCAGGGGTCTTTCCTACCAAACAAAACAAACTTGTTGAAAATGAAAGCTGCCGTCTTCAAAACCGAATGGCCTGCCCGGCGTGAGCGGAACACACGAGCTGGGGTTTGATTTTACAGACTGCCCAGCTGGTCATGGCACTGCCCTGCTTGGATGGGGAGGAGGCTGCCTTTGCCATGAGATTGCCCTTCATGAGCCAAAGAGGGGGCGAAAGCAAGGTCTTAGAGTTTCTCCTAAAAAGACAGACATCAGGGCAGGGCACAATGTGTCATAACGTAACAGCGCCTAGGAAGCATCACGTATAAACCATGTGCCCAGCTGCCATATTCATATAACACGGAGCAAAGGATGTCTAGCAGTGTTAACCCGCTCCTTCCTCCACCTGGGGCACTGTCACAATGCTTTAAATGAGACTATGCAAAATCGGTTGTTCTGACACACAGTCTAGTTATGAAGCTCAGGCTAGCCTCTGAATTCATACCCCTCCCATCTCAACCACCTGAGTGCTGGGATGCCAGATGTCTCCCCCACCTCACCAAGAAAAAAGTGGACTTAAACTGTTAATTGCTGGATTTATTGGTAGAACTTTCTAAGTGCTTAGGTTCTGGCTTCCCTCATTCTCACTTTTCTCTGCCTCTTGAATGCGTCTTTTACATAGCCTGAGTCTGGTCCTGCAGCTCTTGTGAACTTAAAAATTCTGTCTGTTGTCTGTTTCATCACCAGAAATATGTACGAATTAGGAGGCGAACCACTTTACAACACCCTGCAGAGAGGGCACGGTCAGCCTTTGAGTGCCTCTGAGGCAAGGATGAGACTACTTGAGAACAGTCTAAACTGTCAGGGAGTAAACGCAAAACTCTCTCTGGATCTTCTTCTACCAACGAGGCCCAGACCCCATGGTGTTGGCTCCTCACCCTCCCTCACCTGTGTGGGGCTGACACAGAGAGGCCAGAGAGAACCCTTGCCTGCTTGGGTGGGTTGGAGAGCAGTCTCCCATTCTCCTCGAGGGGGTGGCTGTCCTCTGTCTGAACATCCCTGTGCGCTCACAAAGGCCTCTCTCCACACAAGCAGACCCACACGGATACCCCCGGCAGCTCTAGCATCCTGGAGGTACGGATGCCAGAGAGGAAAGAAGGCTCTCCACGCTTGGCTCTGCCCCGCGGGTCTCAGGCAGGGCTATGGCCGCACTGTCCATGTTTGTTTGAGGCATCAGATCTTCCATTCTGTCGTTGCTTCTGCTTCCGGGCTGCAGATGACCGGCCCTGCTCACTTCACCAAACGCTCTTAGAGAGAGCTCTGGGTCTTCCTTCACACTGGTGGGTGTGAACAGATCATTCACTCCTTAAGGACTCAGGGACGACAGCCAGGACTGGGAAAATGTCCCCGTCCCACAGGGAACACACGGAAGGCACTTCCCTCTGCCAGAGACACCAGAAGGTCTACGAGCCAATAGTACCCGCCTTCCCTTCCAGACCCACTGGCCAGCTTCTTCATACGAGCTATGTGGACCCTCTTGTGTGGGCAGAGTGGGACTCGGTGCCACACAGACTCGGGGAAGAGGCTTGCTCCCGTGGGGCACCCGCTCTTCGCTGCCCAGACTTCCTCCTCTCCGTGGCGGGCTATTCTTTTCGTTCCTTCACTCCACAGAGCTCCTGGGCACAGCGTGGATCTGCGTTTTTTTGGATAAGGGCGTGGCAAAAAGGCTGTTTCCTGACGTCTGCCTCTGGTGGTCCTGGGGCTTGAGACACAGGAGGTCTGTTCTGAATGAGTGTGGTTTTCGTGGTCTACACCGATGCCAGAATCTTGGGGCCCAACTGCGAGTCATGTGCACTTCCGTGGGAACACAGACGGATAAGGCATGCGCCAGTCTAGAGTATTATCTTGTATGTGAGTGACAGACAGATAAACTGACTTTTGACTTCACCTTTTTCCCCCTTTGGATCTTTAGGAGAATTCAGCTGAGCCCAGCCAGCAGCACAGTCCACCCCGCTAGCTGCCAAGTGGGCTTCATTAACCCTTTCCCTCATGCAGGTCGTCCTCAATCATACACTAAAAAACACTGGTAGGGCCGGTTGGTGACTATCCTGAAAAAATGCGCTTCCTCTGTTAACTCAGGACATCAAACACTCATTAAAATGAAGTAAAATATGACCTAAAGATTGTTTCCAACGGTCCACTTTAATCTTCTAGATCATTTACAACACAACAACATGGACCCCACTTTTAAGACACGGGATTAAGGGGAGAAAGTCAAAGGATGCTTCAAAAAAGACACGTTAAAATACATTAATAAAAATGTCTACGAGGTGAGGCTCCCCACTCTACACCCCTGCCTCGGCCTCCTGGGAAACCATGGTCAAGCCCTTGACCGCAGCAGTTTGCAATTAACCTGCGGAACCCTGGCCTTGTCTTTGTCTTGGATTTCATGGCAATGTTGTGACCTCTGCAAGTTAAACTTATGAATCAGAAAGATGAATATCCTTTCTCTACATTTAGTGACCTGGGGGATGTCACAAGGATGATGGCCCTGGGGTCACTCACCTTTCCTCTTACATCCTGAGTTCTTTGTCTTCCCAGCAAACGGAGCATGTGGGTTAGCAGTAACCACGCAACACTCCAGAGGTCTCAGGAGCCCTGAGCACAAACTTCCCATCCCAGTGCAACAGGTTGGTGGGTCACCCAGTACACCCGAGTCACACTACTGACACCTGGTGGTGGGATGGAGCACTTAGCATCCAGCCTCTTTCGTAAGAGGTGAACGACATCTCTTAGTGGTTAAAGAGAGTCACTAAACACGGATTAAAAACTCCAGTTTGAATACAGGAAAGTAGCACTCCCTTCACTGAAGCTGAGCCAACACGCAGAGCTGACATGACCCTCCAGGCACCATCTAACTACTCCCTGGACTTCCGGCCGATTTTCACATCCTACTGCCTCTCACTCATCATTTCCCTAAATTTGCTCAGCTTGCTCACTTTGGGAATCCCAAGACGGTACGGGAAATGGGCCATCAGAGTCAGGGCAGGATGGCCGCCACAGAACCTGGGAACACCTGTTCTCGGGGGCCCCACACCCCCCTTTTTAGCAGCCTCTCCTGCTCCCTCTTGCACCTCCAGGATGGGCAGAGGCGCCCACCCGTCACAAAAAGCGGAGGATCTGGCCTCTGTTTTAGAAGCAGAGCCTGACGACGGGAAGGCTCTTTGCTATCACCCACACAGACGAGCAGAAGCTACAGACATAGAGTTACTACGGATGGTGCCAGGAACAGAGGTGAGCAAAGCCCAGAGCTCTGTCTCGGGTAAAGGTGTCAGGTTTACAGGACTAATTGCGGTGCCCTCACCAGACCCCTCCTCCTCCTCCTCCTCCTCCAGGCCCGCTGGCGCTGGCGGCTTGTGCATCTCCTCTGGGGAAGCCTGAGGCTGGCTGGAGTAACTTCTGCTGCCTGAGACAGTCACGTGTGCTCGGGACCTCTCACCTGAGGTCTCTGGGTGCTGAACTGGCGCGGAGGTAGCTAGGCCCGTGAGAGAGATGTGGTCACCTGTGTCGTCTTCCTCAAAGTCGTTAAGACAGTACACTTCATCCAGGTCAACGTCCAGCGTCCGGAAGCCCTTGGTGACCACACCAGGACGGGGGTCCAAGATTCCCCCAAGATGAGGCTGGGCCAGTTGCTGCCAGTGGTGAAGCGTGGCTGAACCTTGTGGGAGAGACGAAGGAGAGCAGAGGAGAAGGGAGGTTAGGGTGCCAGCTAGAGCAAGGGCTTCGCATCCTTGCCGGGGACTGTGGAGGGAACTGGGGTGGGGCTGACTGACCCTCGCAACCGGACAACAGGGCCACCTCTTGCTGTACCAGGAGGGAGCGCCGCTGGGCAGAACCAACAGTTCCTAAAGGAAGACACCCGCTACGCCCTGTGTGTCGGTGGTGTCTGGCTACAGAGAGGGTTTCAAAGCACCCGGTGCTAGACTTCGCACGATCATTTCTCTGACAGGAGAGGCCGGGGATGGTCAGACAAGAGCCACAGGAAGCTGGTAACGACAGCCTGAGAACAACCAGGGACCCAGAAAGCCACGGGATACTCAGGCACAAGCCTGCAGACCCCCACACACACAGGTTACAAAAAAACAAAACAAACAAAAAAAGGAAGGGAGATAGGTGAGGACAAGGGTTCAAGAACGAGGTAAGACGTCACAGAGGCCTAAAGCAGTAGAGCCATCTCCGTGGTGACACCAGACCCTAGGACTCAGGTGGCAGACAGCCTGTGAGGTTTGTAATAACACCCGAGTGTGTCCCTGACGACCTCACGTGTCCCAGGCGTTCTACCAAGAAGGTGTGGGATGTCGGGAAATCCCAGGTGCTGAGGCACCAAGTGACACCTCAGACAGAAAGCCGGGCCTTCCGTGTACCAGGGTGCTCACGGCCTCTAGATACCCGGGTCGGAGACAACTTGCCATGGAGGTCTTAGGAGGACTCTGAAAACGGACAGTGTCAGTCCCACTTAAAATGAAAAAGAAAAGAACACACCTTGAGCCCCAACCCTCAACACCCCTCTCCAAGGTCCACGCCAGTTTTAAGGATATACATCACTTTCTCTTTAGTAGACTTGTCCTACTGAACAGAGTAAAAAAAAAAAAAAAACTCTCTATGCACAAAAGGAAAAAAACAAAACAACAGGCCAGGCGTTGGTGGCACACTACTTTAACCCCAGCACTCGGGAGGCAGAGGCAGGCGGATCTCTGTGAGTTCGAGGCCAGCCTGATCTACAGAGTGAGTTCCAGGACAGCCAAGGCTGTTACACAGAAAAATCCTGTCTCAAAAAAACACCAAACAACAAGCCAAAATAAAACAACAAGAGGTTTAAAAGCCAAAACAAAACAAAAAATGGTATTCATACCTGTAAGGACTTCAGAAGTCCTCAACTTGGGACAAAATACAAGCTGTTTGTAGTAGTTGAAGACAAGGATGCTAACGCCCTCTAGAGGCAGGAATGGGGGTGGGTGGGGCTAAGATTTCCAGGGATGCTCAGGGTCCTGTGTGTGTGTGTGTGTGTGTGTGTGTGTGTATGTGTGTGTGTGTGTGTGTGTGTGTGTGTGTGTGTGTGAAAGATGCAGCTTCAAATTTCACCTGGTGCTGAGACCTGAAAGCCATCCTTAGGGCTCACATCCGCCAAGAGCCTGACGGAAGCCGCGGCCACAAAGGGAGATGGGCGTGGCAGGGGCACACAGGGTTTGTGGGACCTGGAGCTCCAAAAGCACCACTGCTCCATAAATCTAACCTACATCAGAAACTGCAGTACCGCGTGCCTGCCCGATTTACACACGGTGTTGGCAGAGGATGGCACAAACAGAGGCACTTTTATAGTCTATACTCTTTTGCTTGTATGTTTCGTTTCTGGAAACAGTGTTTCTCTGTGTAACAGCCCCGGCTGTTCTGGAAATCACTGTGTGATTTCCACCAGGCTGGCCTCGAACTCAGATCTGCCGGCCTCTGCCTCGCCAGTGCTGGTGTAAGTCACATCCCAACCTCATATTGTAGCATTATCTGCATGCACATTGTAAGTAGCCCTGCGCGCGCGCACGCACGCACGCACGCACACACACACACACACACACACACACACACACACACACACACGCCCCGTAAGGGTTTCTTTGACCTAGCTGCAATGGGACTTGGCAGGAACTCTGCAAGACCTCCACTACACAGAGATAATGCAAGAAGAGTATCATTAGGGATAGGGAACACACCAGCACTGTGAAACGCAGAGACAAGGCTGACTCTCTGACCAGAATGACTGTCTGCCTCAGTTTCCCCTCCCTGTATAATTTGCTGGCCTGAGATGAGTCGGAAGACAGAACTCTGGCGGGTGAGCCTGCTGTCTTCTCTACTGTCAGGACTTTGAATAAAAGACAGCTTGAAGCCTCCGTTCCTGCCTCTGCTTTGCGGGCATTTGGCTGGAATGATGGCATGTGAGCTCCATGTTCCAACAAAAACTCACTGAGCTCTGCATGGAGGCAGAGCAACTCCCCAGGAGTTGCAAATGGGGGGGGGGGGATGGAAGGTCCTGAAGCTGCGTGACTGAACTAGTGGTATGTGAGCCGGAACGTGAGTGTGTGGTCCGGGAACGTGGGCTCGGTGGGGAGCAGGGTCTGGCCACCAGCTGTACAGGTGACATCAATGACCCACGGCAGAACTTCCAGGGGGAAATGTCCAGGGCCCAGCAGGAGGGCCAGACACACAGCGAGGATACCTCTGCCACCTCTGACAGTCCCCATTCACAATATCCATGTGCTTTCTCACAAGTCAGAGCCATCACCATAGCCAACTGGGACATCCCCTAAGTCAGCACACTGTTTTATCAGGCATTTACTGAGTGTCGACACACCTAAGTCCTTCAACTTTTGGGACCGCCCTGCTGTCTCTGTTTCACAGATTAGGACAGTGAGCATTGGGAAAGAGAGAGACACTAGCCAGAGGTTGTATTAACAAGCAGCTCATCTGGGATTAAAATGGAGGCCTGTGGCATCTTCCCTGCAACTCTCAGCAGAGAGACAACCCCCAGCTCCCACATGAGCCCCATGAACCCAGCCAATAGCAAGCCCAGATGGTGACTGTGACCAGAAACTTTCAAATACGCAGACCCGAAAGCTGTGTCAGCCTCGGCTGTGATTTTAGTTGTGGTAACAGTGGATCTCAGGAGCACTCTCTTCTTGGCTGGTTCTGAGGCTCCAGCTATTCAAGGGGCCCAGGACCCGAGACAGGAACGCTCAATTCCCCAACTGCCATCTCCCGGCTCCATCGCCCATGCCTGAAATCTTTCCTTTGATGTGGGAAGCAGGGTTAAAAGTTACCATGAATCACACCTCACCCAGAGGTGTGCACACGCTGAATGCCCCTCTCCTCTGTCCCATCTCACTCTCCAACCTGGCTTCTTTTCTCTGTCCAACAGGAAGCAGGAAAAGCCCTATGCTATTGGCTACTACTCATCACTCCCTCCATCTAAGATGCTCCTCCCACCCACAGGCAGAACGCGGAGGACTACAGCCTGGACTCAGGCGTTTTAAGACAGACGTCTCTGTCTCTCTCTCTTCAATATCCTGTTCTTTGCTGGCAACGTGATTGACAGGGGAGAGGGAGGAGCAGATGGAGGACCCTGATTGGCTCCCGTAATTGTACCAGACAATGGCCTCGAGGGACCTCACCCCAGGTGCCTTTACCTGGACTGCTGGGGATCAAGGATAGTCTATCGGGGTCTCACCGGGCCACTGGAAACACATGTGAGACCACGACCCCAGCATAACGACCCTGGCATAATGAAGGGATCAGGTGTCAACAGCCGTAACTGGGCCCTTTAGGCCCAGGTGGCTGGATCAGGGACAAGTTTGACAGTCTTGTTTGAAAGCTGTTTGCCCTCCTAACTGATAAGGGAGACAGCTCAAGAGGAGGGCTACCTCACCCAACACAGGGCCACCGGTATGCGGGCGAGGCAAATGCCGACTGTGGAGGGGAAGGAGGAAAGGACACGTCGGTTGCCGTCTAAACATCTAAGACAGAGGTCTGAGAAACACAAAGCGAAGCCAAGGATCCGTATCACAGGGTGTGTCACAGGCCACAGAGATGAGGCACGACTTTCGATGGGAGGAATTCAACCTCATGGGGGAGCAGGATGTGAAATTCATCTTACAAATGAGTGGGGCTTCTTCTTACCCTTGCCAGAAATGTACGGGCGCAAAGTTAGAAGAAATAAAGATGAATCGGTGGAAACAAAGCTTTCAAAATCTCATCCTGCAATGCACTTGAAAAATGAACCCAAAACATTCCATAGGCCACCCAATGAAACACAGTCAAGTATGGGAAGCAGAGAGAGAGAGAGAGAGAGAGAGAGAGAGAGAGAGAGAGAGAGAGAGAGAGAGAGAGAGAGATGGTCAGTGTCTAATGAACTCTGAGACACGAAGGAAGAAACGAACAGAAAGGCGGAAAGAAAATTGCAGAAATGGAAGGTTTTATTGAAAGAAAAACCAGACATAATTGGAGGTCAGAAAACAATCACCAAGCTCACAACTGAACACACAATTAAAAAGGAGTGAGCCGCCCCTCCCTGGAGGCTAGGAAGGCCCTACTCACAGTCATAGTAAAATGAACCCCCCAAAAACTGCCCTTCCTCTTTCTTTGGGAACACAGGGGCCTGTGGCATATCACACGTCTTTACTGATCACGGCCACAGCTTGCGGGCTGCCTGGTGCCGTTCTGTAAAGCCAGCACCATCCCCGAGGCAGCAAACGCAGACAGAGGCTCAGGAGAGGAAAATAACTGTCTTCCTCTAAGCCACACGTCCGCACCTGCGTGACAGAAGTATCTGCGGCATTGAAATGTCACGGTGGTGCTCGGGTGCTTAATTAGACTGAAGCATCCAGAGATGCCCCTTAGAAGGGATAATGGTAAGAGCCGAGGAGAAAGCAGACGTGCAGACATCTGGCTTTACATCAAGACCGCGATCGCGCAGTGCTGAAGCAGGCCTCCAGCCCACCCGGGCTTCACGCTAAAGTGGGGAAAGCGGAAACTTCCGCGCACACTTGGCGGCTCCTGCAAGGCAATGGGACTCTGGGAAAACATCTGTGACATGCGAATCAGCAAAACGGTGAAGTTTTCTAAGAACTCAGTTCCTGAGGAGCCCCGGCACTACCTGCACAAGGGGCTTACTGGGGTCTAAACGGGCTGACCTCCTTCCTGCCTCCACGCTGCACGTTGCATGGGACCTGGCTCCTCCCAGCAGAGCTTACCCCCCAGAAAGCCACAAATCACAACACGTGAACACACACAACACTCCCACGTGGCTGGGGGGCCGCACTCTCAAGGCTCGGTTGGTTTGTGCTATGTGACAGTGAAAATTCTGAGAAGCCAAAGCATTCCTTCTCTGCCCTCCTCAGACCCTTGGGTTGATCCGGAAGCAGTTTTCCGTAGTGAGGACAAACGGCCATGAGCAGCCATCAGGGAAAAGGTCTGGAGCTGAGCACCTGCCACTAGGCGTGGCCCCTAAGGCACTAAAGACACCTGAGGCCCCTGAGGGCCACCTGTGGTATAGTTCCCTAGGCCGGTCCACTCCAGGAGCGCACCGTTCAAGCCACGACAGAGGCCACCTCAGAGGAACTCAAACCAGCAGCGTGGGTGGCTATCTCGAAAGAAAAATGAGTAGGTATGACAGAGGTGGCTGGCTTTCCTGTGGTGGATCAGGGCCCAGAGTGAGTCACAGAGGAGGACAGAGAGGGGCCGTGGCCCCTGGTGGTCACCTTCAAGTGGCTTCACGATCTGCAGCTTCTCGGGCAGGTAGGAGCGGCTGCTGAAGGACATGCCGGAGAAGCCGGTGAGCTCAGAGAAGCGCGAATGTGTGCCCAGGGACATGATGCTCTCGGTGGGCGTGAGTGAGCCACTGTGCAGCTCCCCCTTCTCAGCCAGCTCGCGCAGCTTCCTCTCCTGCTCCTCCTCGAAGAACCTCCGCTCAGACAGGTAGTTCTCCCGGCGCAGGGACAGACGCCTAAGCGCCGTCTCTAGGTCGTGGGAGCCTGGGGTGCCTGGGGTGCCTGGCTTCTTGTTGCGGTCCTCATTCCTGAGGAAGACAGGGAGTAAGTACCTAAGGCCGGCAAAGGGTACCGAGGACCCCTCCCCCAGGGCAAGGCCACTGGTCTGACAGGAGATGGTGTAAGGAGACTAGACCAGCCAGGATGGGGGCAGACACCTGAAGGAGTCCCTTCTGTGGCTCTGAGCTGACTTTCCTTAGGGACAGAGGGTTGCACCAGGATGGATTGAAAATTTGTTCCATAAGCATCTCCCCCCTGGTTATTCTGGAAGACCTTTTGCAAGTGGCTATTCCTGGGTACCAGGTGGGAGCCGATTCAAGGGGACCCCTTTTGCTGCTTAGATGAAAGGGCCTGGGCTCAGTTCTGAGTGAAGCCAGCTCTGACCCTGAGTAAGCAACCCTCTGTATGATTCAACCCATCCACAGCAGCTGTTTTACTAACTCAGAGGGCCAGGGTGCACAGAGTGGACGACGGGGTGGGGGTTAGGGGTTCTACAGGGCTTTAGGGAGGAGGGGAACTAACTGACCGTGACTAAGGAGAGCCCACAACTGAGACAGTCCTCTTTACCCCACCCTCTGAAGCAAGCCAGAGAGCCTGGGTCCTCCTCAGCCTCTCCAGCATCCAAGCTCCCAAGGGGCCACGGTGATGGTTCACGGGAAGTGCTTGCTAGTTTCCCCTTCAGCATGCTATGGGAAAGCGTGGTGTGGGTGACGGCCTGAGGCATCCTTCAGAAAGCACCAGTGCCGTGGATAAGGCGGGTAAACTGAGGTGTGGAGAAGTCTCACGTCACCCACCTCTCTCTGACGGTGGCCGAGGGCGGGCCCCATTCAAGGGGGGGATGCTCTCCTCCCTCCCCTCCCTGCTGCAAGAGGAGGAAAGCCCGCTGCTCACCCCAGCTCAGCTGCCTCAGTTCCCAGGAGGAGGATGCTGCTGGTCTTGTTGTCAAGGACCACGTTGCCGACATCACTGCCGTAGAAGCTGGAGCGTGGGGTGCTGACGCAGCTGGACAGGAGGGAGTTCATGGCTGAAGACTGGTTGGAGCCGGGGATGTTCATAGGGGAAGGCGTCAATGATCTCTGCTTGACCACTTGGTTGACGTTTCTCACGGTCTCGAAGACACGCTTCTGGTGGCTGGGGAGGACACGGCGGCCGTGAGCAAGGGCATCCGGGAGAACCGGAGCTTGCCCCTCCACAGGCGGGTGTCTCCAAAGAGGCGCACCCTTAGGGAGCCTGGGGCGGCCTGCTGACTGAGGGCTTCACGTGTGCCTGACTGGGGGTGTGAGCGCCTCCATCGTAGTGTGGACTAGGGAGAAGCTAGCCCAGACGACACTGACGGTCACAGATCTAGAAGCCTGACCCAGAAATAACCGCCCTGCAGTGTGGCTTTTGTCTTCAGTATGCCTGCCTCTTTCGGCTCTGCGCCGGGACGCAAGGTCGGCAGGGGCAGTGCTGGCTCACAGACACCTGCAGGGTTTGGCACGTGTAACCATCCATAGAGAAGAGAAGGCGGGACTCCAAGCCAGTCTCAAGTTCCTATCTTGAGATGATAAAGGCCTAACGAGGCTATTGTTTCTTTCTTTCTTTTTTTTTTTTACAAGACAGGGTTTCTCTGTATTGTTTTGGAGGCTGTTGGTCCATCCCGGCCTCGAACTCACAGAGATCCGCCTGCCTCTGCCTCCCGAGTGCTGGGATTAAAGGTGTGCGCCACTACCGCCCGGCTGAGGCTATTGTTTCTAAGTGCAAGAGCCCCCCAGTTTCATCTGCGTGGATCTCCCTTTAAGGAGAAAAGAGCAGGCACATCTCTGGACCAGTTGCTTTGCCTGGGGTGCCAGAGACGCACACGTACCAAAGCCAGCAGGACACTGGTCACAAAAATTCTGCCTGAGGAGTTTGGGGGAGAGGGAAAACCACCGTCCCCAGATTCCTTCTAGATGCCCCAGGGAGCTCAAGCCCGAATCTGGAGTTAGGAGGGGAACCTTAGGGACAAAGACCCCCCAGGGGTCCTCAGAAGGAAACAGACCTGGCTCGCACCGTCTCTACCATCCATGTTTCCCTCTTTAGACGAATGCTTGCCATTAAGGGGGAAGCAGGAGTTGGCGGGGAGAAGGGGAACACAGCTCCCTTCCCGTCTCCCTGGAAACTCATCAAGGGATCTTTTGCAGGTTTGCTTTGCTTCTTGAGACGGAGATGCGCTCACATGGGCCGTGGTTAAAGACAGCCTTTGCCTTCTGAGCCTCCGACCTCCACCCTTCCGTGCCAGGTTGTGCTGGGGACAGAGCTCAGGGCTCCGTGCACGCAAGGTGAGCCCGCTACCAGCCCGTGCCATCAGCACGAGGAAAGAGCAGACAGAAGGGTCAGTCTGTCGCGTCGTTTGGTTTCCCTTAACCTGACAGGGAAGGGCACAGCTGTGCGCTGGTGGTGCCTGAGGTCCACACATTAGGGGTTAAGTGAGTCGGCGTGTGGGACCCTGAGATATAAAAACCATGCAGCCATACGTGATGTCTGGGGACTCGGGCTCGTCCAGCTGCAGCTCCTTACGCATGGTGCCCTCGATCTCCGCAGCCAGTGAGTCCTGGGAAGAGACAGAGGAGGCGTCCAGTGAGTGGGGAGCATCCGTTTCTCTACAGGCCAGAGGAGCCAAAAGAAGAAACGGGGGACCCAGGAGTCTCCAGACTTCTTGCCACACCACACAGGGCTAAGGCCAAGGCGCCCCTGGGTGAGTGAGAACACAAGACCCTGACACTCATGTAGCCGTGTGTCTGGAAGCCAGTTAGTTCCAGGTTCCCTTGGCCAGACTACAGAGCTAAAACTGTGGCTCCCATGCCGGCCGGGAACTCAATGGGGGCATAGAAAAGTGTGTTCAGAACGGCGGGAACAAACGTATCTCCAAATATCAGAGCCTTCTGAGAGGCCTCAGGCCCCACAGGACACACTAAGTTACTGTCTTCCCAGGTCACCAGGTCTGCAGTCCCAGCTCCTTAGGATAATGACACCCAGGAGGCCAAGGCTGTACCTCCGACTCCTAGCCAGGCACCCACCTGCCAAGGGCTCTGTGGCTCTGCTGGGGAGAGGTCCCTGCCTCCTTGAACTGCGTCGTGAATGCTGCCACCTGTTTTCTCTGGAAGCTCTTCACCCCACCAGCTAGCCAGGACACCCCACCTGATGGGGAAGTCCTGTGTATATGTCAATAAAGCACTGTTGGCAACAGGACTAGAGAGAACAGTCTGTCCTCGGGAGGGAGGAAGCCTCCAGCGGGGCAGGCCCAGGTCCGGCCCGGGAAGGGACACGGAGCCCCCAGCAATGGCGTAGGGGACAGAGGCACACGGGAGGACCCACTCACCATGGGGAACAGGCCCAGGGAGTGGTAGCGTCGGGACGTGGTGTTGGGCACCGTCTTGTTCCGCAGGTTCTTCAGCTCCTCCTGCGCCTCGTGGAGCATCTCCATGCACTCGGCGTACTTGTCCTCCAGCTCACGCAGCTGTGGGGAGAGGCGGAGGGTCGGCCCCGAGGCAGCCGTGTGCGCCCGGTGCTGATAAACACCCGCCAGCCCTCCTGCTGCCTGAGAGGCAGAGTGACAGACGCAACGGTCTAACCAAGTCCCCAGCACCTCACGGAACCAGCGGCCCCACAGTGTGGGCCCACAGCGAAGCGGGCTGGATCCACGAGGCAGGCAGGCTTCTCCTACTGCGGGAAGGCCTCTAGATGGGACAGCTGCTAAAATGTGCACAGTGGGCAAGCCAGCTACACACTCACTGGGGGAAAGGCAAACCGGCTACCCTAGTCTCCAGCTCATCTCGCATTTCTGTTCGATACAGGGGCTTTCTATGTAGCCTGCGCTGGCCTAAACTCATAGCGATCCTCCTGCCTCAGCAACTCATGGGCTGGGATTGCAGGCACGTGCCACGATGCCCAGACTTAAGCTACACATTAGAACAGTCGTTTTACACATGCCCGTGGTATATTTTGCTCACCTATTTGGTATCTGTGAGGAACTAGAATATGCCAAGCCCTGAGCTGGTACTGAATCTAGCCTCCTTGTGCTCAGAACACCCACCAGAGGCAGCGGCAGCAGAACCCAGGTGAAAACGGAATCATGCTGTTTCGATATTAAAATGTTGGTCATGAGGGGAATGACCGAGGCTTATTGTTTGGTAGGGGCGAGGGCGTTGTCCTCACTGGAACCTCGGCCCTAGGGAACCGAGGTGGGGACACCCACCTCTGCTGTGAGTTGCCGCTGGGCATCCTTGGCAGCTCCCAGGTGCTGGACAAGCTCTTCATTTTCCACAGCACACTGAACAGGGTAAAGAGGACAAGGCACTTCCGTTAAGACACCCAGAGAAGCCCAACTCCCCCCACCCCAGTTTCCTGTCGACAGAGCCTTCTGTGAGGACCTCAGCGCCCGCCCACAGAGGAGTCTGCATCTGATGCTGGAACAGAACACGCCTTTCATATAATTAAAAACAAAAAAAGTTCTTTTCAAAAATGCTTTCATTCGCGTGAGTGCGTGTGTGCGTGTGCGTGTATGTGTGTACGTGCGTGTGTGCGTGCGTGTATGTGTGTACGTGCGTGTGTGTGTGTGTGTGTGTGTGTGCCTGCAGTGTGGAGGTCAGGGGACGACGTGTGCGTGTTGGTCCTCTCTGGGGATGGAACTCAGGTTGTCAGGCTTGGCAGCAGGCACCTTTATCCGCGGAGCCATCTCACCGGCCCCTTTCACGTAACTCTGAAGGTGGAATCTCTCCTCTTTGCTTATCTATTCTCCATAGCCCAACCCCACCCCCAGAGCAGGGCTGCTTGCTGGAGTTGCTCCCCCCCCCTTTCTGTCATCAGGCACAGGGTTCTACCACGGGACGGGCCTGCCTGGTGGAGTGAAAACCAACAGCGTGCTCCACGGTTTGTGAGAGGAAGCCCAGGGCTCCGCGTCTCTGGCTCCACCGGTTTTTACAGATTATCCTTAGGAGCCACAGGACCACAAAGACCAGAGCCTCCGCTGACATAGGGCAGCGGGGTCGGCTCCTGAGTCTGCTGAGTCATCTTAGCGTGGCCGCTGTCGTGGCAGCCGGAGACAGAGAGAAGTCTTACAGCCTTGGCCTTCTTCTGTAAGTCCACGATCTGCGACAGCAGGTGTGTGATCTCCTCCTGCTGGCGGGCAGCGTCCTCCGTCTTCTTGGCCAGCTCCTCTGAGATGCTCGCGATCTGGACGTTGGCATCTCCTGCGACAAATTAACGACAAGCGGTTGGAAAAGCACGCATGGTCCAAAGTGAGAGCCGTCTTAACGGGGAGCAGCGGAGACGGGCGTGAAGGGGGAGGGGGGTCACGGTGGGCATCTTTCCAACACAGCTCCTTCAGGCCTTCGCAGGGGCTGTGCCTCCCAGAGGGGCTGCCTCTACTGGCGAAGGCCATCCCCAGGGCAAGTCAGGTGGGCCCCAGGAAGGGAGCTGGAAGCCAGCGTCCCACCATGACGCTCCCCAGGGCTTTCCAGGGCATTTGGAGCAGGAGCCCATCTCACTAGATGTGAACACGGGGAGCTGCTCATTTCACCAATGCCCTTTTCTCTTACCTTACCTGGAAGTGTGTAACAGGGGGCATGGGAAATCGCTGATTTGGATAGCAAAGCTGCGAGCTCTGGGCCTTCGTTTTTCCAAGTCAAACCATTGACCTGGCTGACCTGAGCACCAATAATTCCAGTATTCCCGTACAAAGTTCACACTAAAATCAAACCCCACCCCACCGAGAGCATACGGCTCTGGATCCACAGACGGGGCGAAAGTTGCCGCACCGTCCGGCAGAGGCCTGCCGCTTTCAGAAAAGAAAGCCACTGAGCTATGGGTGGGTGGGGAAGGCGGTGGGGGTGTCTGGGAAGAGGAGAGCAGGCGGGAGGGGCGGACATACTCAGCTCCTTCACGCAGTCGTTCACCAGTTGCTGTTCCTTCTCCTCATAGGTGATGGTCTCCGTCTTCAGCTGGCAGGCCTGTGGATGAGGCTCAGTCAGGCAAGGGCGCTCACACAGTCAGGGAACGGCACTCACACATTCAGTCAGGCAAGGGCGCTCACACAGTCAGGGAACGGCACTCACACATTCAATCAGGCAAGGGCGCTCACACATTCAGTCAGGCAATGGCTCTCACACAGTCAGGACTGGCAGGTGGACCAGGGCCCAGGCACAGAGCTGGGCAAGCCCGGTTTCTGGGACACTCCACTCCCCTCAACATCTCTGCGCCTGCTACCATCGCACACGCATGTCCGGAGCAGATACCTCCTCATCTGCCAGCCCTGTCTAGGTAACGGGCCAGTTCCTAAAAGCAGAGTCCCGAAGGCTACGCGCCACCAGAGGGCGCCACGCACACATGTGCGCACAGGCACCAGGACGCTGAGAGGACAAGGCTATGTGCCACCAGAGGGCGCCATGCACACACGCATGCGCACAGGCTCCAGGACGCTGAGAGGCCAAGGCTATGTGCCACCAGAGGGCGCCACGCACACACGCGTATGCACAGGCCCCAGATCGCTGAGAGGCGACTGTTTGCCACTTGTTCGTGTGTGTTAAGCCCCTGTAGCTGGGACCCCTCGATGGCTCCTGCAGTGCCTAGGACGCTGCCCTGCCTAGGGCATCTATGTTCTATGAACAGCAACACAGGAATGGAGCGGCCACCACGCCAGACGGAGCTACCAGGCTCTGACATGTCATGAACTCTCTGGCTCCGACGAAGAACAGACTCACATGAAGCGTTAGAACATGGACCGTCTCAGGGGCTTGCCCAAGAAGGGGCGTGGAGTGCCATCTTAGAGCCCTAGCACTTGGGAGACTAAGGCAGGAGAGAACTGCCAGGGGCTTGGGGCTAGCCTGGGCTACATAGTGAGCTACAAGTTAGCCTGAGAGCCTGTCCAAAAACAAAAAAAGGCTGATGGTGTACACCTTTAATCCCAGAACTTGGGAGGCACAGGTGGGCAAGTCTTTGTGAGGTCGAGGCCAGCCTGGTCTACAGAGTGAGTTCCAGGACAGTCAGAGCTACATAGCGAGACCTTGTCAAAAGTCTCTCTCTCTCTTTCTGTGTGTGTGTGTGTGTGTGTGTGTGAGAGAGAGAGAGAGAGAGAGAGAGAGAGAGAGAGAGAGAGAGAGAGAGGGGGAGAGAGAGAGCGCATCCATAGGACTTTAGGTAGTTGAATGGTCTAGAGGGCTATGGTAAGGACCCTAGAGGGCTATGGTAAAGACCCGGCCACAGACAGACATGAGAATTCTAAGGACAGACACGGGCCATCAGGAATCCACACCTGGCTCGGAGTCCTTCCACCAGCTCTGGGGAGAGAGGGGCTGTGTGCCTGAGACTGGGCCAGATGCCAGAAGACTCAGGCGGGAAGCGTGGGCTCAGCGCTCTGAGCCACAGCCTGGCACGCCAAACCCGGGTGACCCACTTGGTTGTGCCGCCCTGTGGCTCCTTTCGTAAGAAATAAAGGGTTGGTGGACGTGGGGCCTGTAAGGACAGGCCATGCAAGGGAGTTCCTTGTGCCTGCTAAGGTCCAGAGGGGAGGCTCTCTGCAAGTTCAAAGTGACAGGCGGACTGTCCCTGTGGAGGGGCTCTGGGCGGTCTGGAGCCAGCTTAGGTAGGGGTCAGGGTTCAAACTTGACAGACAAGGGCTCAACACTAATTAAGACAAAAAGCACCAAATCTATTCTCGTCAGAGGTTTCGTGCCGAGGAGAAGAAAACTGTGCTTGGAGCCAGAGACGCAAATCCGGCCTTTGTCATCTATTAACCCTGACATCTTCAAACACCGGGTCTGGTACAAATGAGATCCAGAGTACCCAGCCCTTCCCCTTGGTGTGAAGACAGGAGCACTAATAACAACAGTTAACAACACAGGGGTGCCTAGGATAGCCCTTTGCTTCCCATACAGGAAACACTCAGAGGCCAAAGATCCCGGTCGCCTAGGCTCAGCCTTTCCAAGGTCACGTGTAAAGCTCTGCCTCCCTGTTCTGGTAATGGTCTTCTCAGAGTAACCCTGACCCTCAGTAAAGTGACGGCTGGTGTCACGCCCGCCTTCGGGCCATCGCTCAGGTCAAACTGTGGGAACTGGGGACACCGTGGGGTGAAGGGGAAAAGGCCTGTGCCTCCTCACTCTTCACCCGCCATGAGGGCCAGCAAGAAGCAACCCCCCCGCACACGGTCGAGCCTGCATCCGAGCACCCTGGCCCGGAGTGCAAGCTCAGGCAGGACTATGCACGTGGCACTGTCACAGGGACACCCCGCCCTTCCCGGGGAGCAAGGTCGGGGTGTGCACGCCACCTCGGATCGGAGCACAACGTTCTCCTCTTCGAGGTCCTTCAGCTTCTTCTGAAGGGAGTCCAGGTGGAAGTAGTTCTGGACGGAGGAGGACGACTCGTTTCTCTTCAGTCTGGGAGAAAAGCGTGCTCCGTCAGGGGGGCTGTGCGGAGGCCGGGAAGGGCTACCCCAAAGCTGCAGGAGCCACATTGGCTCAGAACTGGGGGCGGGGTTGGGGATCAGCTGCTTGGCCAATGCAGTTTCGAGAGCTCATGTAAGTGTCGAGATGCACGCCTGCTCACAGGCTGGTGAGATGGCTCAGGGAGCAAAACAGCCAGAGTTCAGTGCCCAGGGTCAGCATGGTGGACGGAGAAAACTAACCCCCAGCCCCCACCCCGAAAGCTGTCCTCTGGCCTTCACATGCAAGCCGTAACAAACCAAGCGATTAAACGCAGAAGTTAAGTGCTGTGCGTCTGGCGCCCGTGCAAACTCAGTGCTCGTGCTCCTGGGACCTAAGTGTTGTCATTAGCTCCGCGCGACAGCGAGGAAAGCAGCATGGAGTGAGGAAGGAGACGGGGCTGTGTGTCACAACAGAGCCGGGGCCCCAACGCGAGGGGCCTGCCTGCCGACTCTCGCAGGAGCACCCAGGCCTCTGTCCCGAGGGCTCGAGGCTCCTAGCTCTGTGCTTCCTCCGCCAGCCGAGCCCATACCGCTCTCACGAATGTACCCGGGCAAAGGGCTGCCGGGACGAGTCAGAAACCAAACGCCATACGTAAGAGGGAGACAGCCCTCGGGCTCCGGGGCCTGCGCTGTGACTTACGGGGTTGAGCAGACGGACTCGGGCTCGCTCTCCTCGGCGGCGCTGGTGTAGAACTGCAGCAGCTCATCCTTCATGGACAGCTCGTGTCGGAGTTGAGACACCTACGAGGACAGGGAAGAGGGGGCTGAGGCCTCTGGGAGGTGGTGACGTCCGTTCTGTGCGCCAACACTTACTGGTGAGGGATGATGCCCCCCCCCAATTTTGGGCTACTCAAAATTTCAAGGTGTGGACTCTGACCCCACTCAAGAAAAAAATCAACCAATGACTTGTGGGTGGGAGACTCTGTGTTCATCGTGTCTAGTTAGAAGACCAGATAGGGAATAGCAGAAGGTTCTGGAATGATCACAGGGTGGAGGGTGAGACTGTTTATTGGCTTTGCAAGCGGCCAGATGACCAGCTGGGCAAGTGGCCAGAACAATGGGCCATAATAATAAATGAAAGAGAGGCCACTCGCTTTGTCGGAGCTCGGTGCCGTCTCAGAGCCGATCTGCGCACATGCTGACTGCAGGAGGACTGCCAGGAGCAGCTCACAGACACCACCACTCCAGCCCCTCCCCCACCACGTGACCAGCACACCGCACAGCGTCCCTGGACAAGCTGGCCGGGCCCTGTTCTGCACACAGTGGTTCCGGGGAGGGATGATGAGCCCCAAAGAGGAAAGCCAGGCTGCTGCCGTCGGGTGAGACGGCTTTGCGAATGTTGCTGATTTGGGCTCAAAGCTCTCAGATAAGCAGCGGATACTGTGGGAACTTCTCATCTGCCCTTCCAGCACTCGGTGCTGATAAGCACTGGACCGAGCCAGGGAGGAGAACGCCAAGTCTGTTTTCTGGCTTGTTCTAACGCTCCCACACCACGCAGGGAGTGACTCTGTCTCCTTGGAGGATCTGCTCTGTATTACGTGCCGTGTAAGGGCTCTCCTGCCTAGAGGGACCACTCAGTGATTCTCCAAAGGGAAGTAGGACCTCAGAGTCGTCTCCCGGGAAGCAGGGCATCTGCATCCCATGGGGGGGGGGGGGGATGCTCTTCATGCAGGCTGAGGCCTCACAGAGACGGCCATGGGAAAGAGGAGGCCAGTGGGCGGCCATCGCTCACCGGCTCCTGGGTGGTGTGTCCCTCTGCTCAGAAGGACATCTTAGCCCGTGTGCTTCCTCGTCTAACTGAGGCCATTTCCCTGGGCCAGGGAAGGCAGGGACAACTCCATTTCTCCCACAACACCACAGCGCTCCAGCTCACGATCTCAGGAAGCAAGATGGAGATAAGTCCCTTCCTCACAGGTTGACTGAAAACACTAAACCCAACCGAGGAATAGCTTTAATGAAGGGAAAAAACAAAACAAAACAAAACAAAACAAAACAAAAAGGACTGACTACACCGTGGGGGTCACGGAAAAGGGTACCCTTTGGAGATGCTGAGACAGCCTGTCCCCTCTGCCCTGACAGCCGTGAGTTAAGATGCACATCATAAAAACAGCGAGTTTATACAGTGAAAGCTACATTGTTTTCTGCACTTACACGGTGACGCTGGCGTAAGAGCCGCTGGCTCTCCGCCTGCTCGCCGTGTGGGCCTGTGGGTGCTTCGTCCCAGCATAGCGGCTCTCCACGCAGAGTCTGGGCTCTCTGAGGACAAGGCCGTGCCCCTCCAACCCCGCGCCTGCCTCCCTAGCAGCTCCCAGGCTGGGGTCCTCACCTCCTCCCGGATGTGGTCCACCTGCTCTTCCAGAAGTTCGTTCCTCTCGGTTAGGGTCTTGTTCTTCTTCAGCAACGACTGACCGATGCGTGCGGCCAGCTCCAAATCCCGTTCTTTCTATGGTAGACAAGAGAGAGAATGGGGACTTAACGCTGTGCATCCTAGAGGAGTCAACAGGGCTCAGTGTCAGACGGGAGTACCCGAAAACAGTGGGGAGACTTGCAATCCTCCATCCAGGAACTTGATGCCTGCTCAAGAGCGGTAACCTTGGCCATACACGTGCTGGAGCCGCACCGGAAGAGCACGTGGAGGAGGGGAAAAAAAAGACGATTTGTTTAGTCACCGATAACCCTTCTCCCCGACTTGAGGGCAGGCACATGGGAACCAATGAGTCAGGTGGACGGACAGACGGATGGATGGGTGGGTGGGTGGATAGACAGATGGCAATTAGCAGGTGAGTGAATGGATGGGTAGAGGGAGCATGGACACATGGGTGGGCGGGCTCGCGAATAAAGCAAAGGACCGGCAGGAGGAGACACACCAGGCTGGGCTGTCTCAGGACACGGCGAGTTCATCCTTCTAACCTACAGAATGGAACTGTTTAAAATGAACTCAAACGCAATTGTATCTGTTTAGCTGGTCTCACTTTCTCACTGAGGTTTTCTTTAACTTTACTTTCAACAAAGAATTTTAACAAAGTGCAGAGAAGCCCTAGCAGCTGGTCACGCTCCAGAGGCAGGGTTTAGGAGCAGGGTGTTTTGCTAGTCCAGCCACAGCAACAGTTAGACTGGGCGAACCACACGAAGCCATGCCTACTGCCTCTGTGGGAAGAGAGGTGTCCCAGGTAGGGGACAGATGCCAACTCCAAATCCACCTCCATGGAGTCCACCTGCTTGCGTCAGACGGGAGAATGGTAAGGGGAAAGATGTTCTAGAAGACCATACCACTTTCACGGTCTATGCCGGGTACCCCGTTCGCTTGCTCTAGGAAGTGAAATCATAAAAAATAGCAGGCTGTTGCGGCGACAGCCGGGGGCTGTGACTCCACAGGCGGCACTAACTACCCTCGCGGTCTGGACATTTGTTTTCTCCAGAATCAGGAATACTATAGCGTTGTTCAAACCACAGGCTACATAACCACAGGCAAGCTGGGAAATCGATAACGTAATTGCAATCGGTATCTTGTTCGTTGGAAATAAGATAATCAATAGTTCAAAGCTCACATACGTGAAAACGAACCAGTTTCTCACAGACCGCTGTGCAGAAAGGGCCGCCAGCACGGAGAAAGGCAAATGTGGGTGGTGTGCTGATCTGGAGCAAAGCAGTCACTTTTAAGTTCTCGGGTCGGGAGAACTTCCTGTCCTCTTCTCCCGTAAGCTGGGGCAATTCCCTTTGCAAACCCCCCTTCTCATTGGTCTGGCATTTCCGGCTTTATGCAATGAACAACTTGGAGTTTGAGACGGCCCCCTTTGCTGACCACGGCTCAGTCATGTAGCAGAATGCTATGATTAAGAGCACTGACTGCTCTTCCAGAGGATCTAGGTTGGAGTCCTTACACTCACAACCTTTTGTAACTCCTGTTGCAGGGGATTTGATGCCCTCTTCTGGCCTCTGTGGGCACTAGGCACACAGCGCACAGAGAGACAAAACACTCATACACATAAAAATCAGAGAAAATAAAAAATGCTCGCCACAGGCGGGGTTACTCGTAACTTTCTATCTCTGTCTTGAGACACGCAGGCACCAGCCACCAGTTAGAGGAGAGAGGCCCAGTGCTGCCTGCTCATACGTGGTGCTGATGAACCCTAAGCCTGCCTCACACGGGAAACCACATCAAAATCTATGCCTTACATGGTCTCTAAGCCTGCCTCACACGGGAAACCACATCAAAATCTACTCCTTACATTGTCTCTAAGCATGCCTTACACGGGAAACCACATCAAAATCTACTCCTTACATTGTCTCTAAGCATGCCTTACACGGGAAACCACATCAAAATCTACTCCTTACATTGTCTCTAAGCATGCCTTACACGGGAAACCACATCAAAATCTACTCCTTACATTGTCTCTAAGCATGCCTCACACCAGAAACCACATTAAAATCTACTTACATGGCGCCACGAGTGCCATTTTCTGCTGCAGCTTTGGTCTGTGTTTGCAGAAGTGAGCAAACACCTGTAGGCAGCCTACCTTGCTTCTTTCCCGTCGTTCTTAGTCACTCAGTACATGTATGTGGAAAGGGCTCTCCACGTGGCCAGGGGACACAGTGATAGCCCAGGCAAGCAGGGGGTCTCAACCCTGCATTTGTCCACAAGGGCCACGGGGAGACGAGAAGACTCCTCACCCGGGGGGCCCTTTGTCTTTTCTCAGGCTCGGGAAGGACTTGAGGAACGGTGTGACTGAGGCTGCCCAGGACTTGGGGACCCAGAGGCAGACTCGGGATCAGAGTTAAGTCAGAATGGTTTCAGCCCACTCACCGGCAGCTGAGACTGCAATCGCAATGCCCACTGCTCTGCGGAAGCGTGGTCTCCCTAAGCCCAACTCAGGCCTGTTAAACTCCCCGCTGGAACAAGTGCCCAGCCAGCCCAGCGGGTGTTCAGAACCCAGCACTCACTGCCTGGTCCCGTTCCTCACTGCTTCCCTCCCACCAAAGCCGTTGATTTCCTACAAGCACAGAAGCGAGGGCTCGATGCCAGGAGCACTCAGGCGGTGAAGGGAGGAGCACTGCAGGCGGTAAAGCAAGGAGCACTCAGGAGGTGACAGGAGGAGCACCTCAGGCGGTGATGGGAGGAGCACTATAGGCGGTAAAGCAAGGAGCACTGCAGGCAGTAAAGCCAGGAGCACTGCAGGCGGTGAAGAGAGGAGCACTGCAGGTGGTGATGGGGGAACACTGCAGGTGGTGAAACAATGCACTACTGGAGGACATGAAGGACAAGGCTTCCCAAGGGACAGAGAGGGCTGGTGTCTAGGAGGGTGAGGACAGAGGACAGTCCAGGAAGAGAAGATGGCGTGGCCTCACACCTGCGGCCTCCGCCCTGAGAATGTCCACCACGGGCCCACGCTGGAAATCTAATCTTCATAGCAATCACCCAGGGCATGTCTACAGTGTGAACAGCGAGGAGGGACGGGGGACTCCTTACGGGCGACAGGAAACCCTGAAACTGCGGTACCATCTCCAGCCTCTCTCGTCTGTCTGGGGGTGTCTGCTGTTGTCACTTTGAGACAAGGTCTGGGTATGCAGCCCAGGTTGATCCCGAATTCCCGATCTTCCTGCACAACCGCACCTGGCTCTGCCTGGGTTTATCCGGGCAACGGACTTCCTAGGTTTCTCTTGAGAATCAAAGGCATGGGCAAGGTGTGTGTGTGTGTGTGTGTGTGTGTGTGTGTGTGTGTGTGTGTGTGTGTGTGTGTGAGTGTGGGGGTGAGTATTTGTGTGTGGGGCTAAGGAGTCACCTCTTAAGAATTTAATTCTAAAATCAAGAAAAAAGTCAGGAAAAGAGCTTGGCTTTAACCTCAGTGGCAACCAGAGTCTATAAATAACTAACTCGGGCCCCGGAACAAGCAGTCAGAATCTAGTTCTTTATTCTCTGAGAAATGAATTAAGGTGGCTTGAAAGCCTACAACCTGACATTGGCCCTTGTGACCAACACACACTGGCCGGCTGGCACTCTCCCTTCAGAGGCTTAGCCTACCTCCCACACTTGCAGTGACTCAGCTCATTCACCGATTTTAGGATAAAAAGGATAACTATGGCCAATGGAAAGCTCGCTGTTACTGGGGCAGAGAGCTGAACTCTGGGTACATTCCCAACACAGCCAATCAAGGCAGGCTTCAGGACCTCCTTCTAGTAAGGACCCTCAGCAGCGCACACACGCGCGCGCGCGTGCACACACACACACACACACACACACACCACACACAGAGCTCGAAGCTGCACTTGTACATTCCCGGGGAAACCCTGCAACATCCTGAGCGCAGCAGGCCAGGTGTGCGAACCAGCATTCCTGAACAGGCACAGAGCCCAAGCTGGCACAGCCTGGGGTGACTGTCACATGGCTGGCTGTGGCAGTCAGACTCTCAGACGCCCAGTTCCAGAGAAGGGCAGGGACTTCCTTGTGATCGCATCAGGGCCAAGGACAAAGGGAGCAGTTGCTATTTATAAAACACAGAGGTGCAGACATGATTGCCTATCAAAAATAAAACAGGAAGGCTCTACAAAGAGCCAAGGGAAGAAACTGTGCTATCAATATGACATTCTTTCCACCGGTGCAAATAGTTTTAAAGGGGAGCTCATATTTTATGCAGCCATGCTTAGTTAGAAAATTAAACAGGGAAAGGTGAATTTTAAAAAAAAAAATCTGATACGGTCTCGTGTAGCCCAGGCTAGCCTCAAACTCACTAGATAGCTGAGGAAGACCTTGAACTCCTGATCCCCCTCTACCTGGACCTTCCAATCCCTGAAGGTAACAGGCTTGCACTACCAAGCCTGGCCAAAAAGAGAGTTCTTCACACAGGGCCTCTACATAAAAGATAAGAGGCCTCTGGAAGTGGCCTCTGGATGTCACAGCAGACAGAAGGGTGGTACCCCATGGAACATCACCCCACAATGAGGCCTCGGATGTACCACCGCCGAGGACTATGGGCTGTGGAAGCCCAGGGCGGCAGGGTCCAGCTCATACTCTGAAGGTGGAAACGTCCTCCTGAAAACCAACAATATATATAATACCAGAGCCTGAGGAACAGCAAAGGCAGCCGGTGAAGACGCTATTCCCATCAGGGAGGGGGCGGCTCTGAGTCAGGGGTGGGAAGTCTTTGGGGTCTTTGCCTCCGTGCCTCAGGTCCGGGTCCCTCCTCTGTAACAGCATCTGCCATCAAGAGCACCAGTGGAATGAATGCAACAGCGGGTGGGTGGCACTTAGCTGCCTGTCAAATCTCACTCCTAACAGTGCAGCCAGAGACAGATACCCCACTGAAGGCCTGTGCGATCACTCGGCAGGAGCCCGCCCTGGCAGCTTCTGACCCAGAACGCGGGACTGGCCGGCACGGCGGCAGGGCTCCGGCGCAGACTCGCAGTCCCGTGGGCCCGTAGCGTGAGAGGGAGCCATCCAGGATCCCAAGGAGGGGTGGCAGAGGGTCCGTCTCCGATGACAGCAAGTCAGTGCGGACTGAAGAATGTGAGCCGCGGGACACTGAATGCTACCCCACAAGCTCTACGGGCCAGGAAGCGGGCGAATCGATCACGGAGAGTCTGAGACCATGGCGGAAGCCAGGGACCTAGGACAGGGTGAGGGCAGACCCCACTGCCCAGATGAGGGCATAGATAGAGGATCCCCCAGAGACTTGGGGCTGCTCGTTCCTGGGGTTGGGGGCAGATGCCGGAAACACTTCCTCCATAGCGACACTGCTGGACAAATGGATCCCACAGGGAAATGCCAGCAAGGCCACTTCCAAATCCAATGTGCAGTCAAGTGGGCTTGCTGCTGGCCCACACCAGCCACAAGATGATGGCAATTGTGGTGTCACCAGAAGGCCAATGGCCAGCATCTCAAGTCACCACCACATAGTCCCAAACCCTGAAGCCACCTATGTGGGACTCAGGGGTTCTGTTCTCCTCCTTCAGAATAGAACGGAAGAGCCCCGGGGTAAGTGGAGATGTCACGTCTACTGAAGGAAGAAACAAGAGCACGAGAAAAAGACGTAGACATAGACGTAGACGTATATGTATATGTATATATGTATATAATACTTCTCCCCAAGCCCTGCCCACCCTGGCCTGCAGACACACAGGGTGTGCCCCGTGTCCTGATGGAACTTCACAGCCCCTACAGTCCCAAAAGAAAACAAACACTGAGACCAACTGAGAATGTCATGGTCTCTCGAGGACGTGCAGCCTGCCTGGCCTGAGTGACTTTCCCAGAATCAGCCATCAAGGTCCCATTTGTCACTTGTTCCATGTTGACACTGCTCTCCGCTCCACTGGCCAGGCTAAGCAAAGGCGTAACGTACATTCAGAAGCCACTGGTAAGGACATAGTCTTCTCTCCAGCAGACAGTTTAGGTTTCTCTGATCAGAAACTGGGTGTTCCAACAAGTACTTAAATGGCATTGTATTTCTGTGTCACAAATTCATTCTAGCGAAAATCTAAAAGGGTGTGTCTAACCTGCAGCCTGCCGACCAACTGTACACATCCCAGGGTAGTTATGAATGTGGGGCAACGTCTTACTGCAATGTCAGAAGGGTGGACCACCCCACACTAAAATATCAGTGGTGCATGATGGTACGTACATTCCTGTAATTTCTGCTAGGAGGTAGAGGTCAGAACACAGGGAGTTCAGGGCCAGCCTCAGCTACACAGCGAGTTGGAGGCCAGCCTTGGCTTCACAAGATCCTCTTTCCAAACAATACCAACAAATCTAATACATGTACACAAAAATCAACAGGGGGAAAGACCTAGGCACACAGTTACCAGTTAAAAGACAGAGCCACTGGGTGTGGTGGCGCCTGTCTCCAATCCCAGCATTTGGGAGGCCAAGGCAGGCAGATCCCATGTGTTCTAGCTCAGCCTGGTCTACACAATAAGTTCCAGGCCAGCCAGGGCTACATAGTGAGATCCTGTCTCAAAATAGATAAATAACAGAATGAAACCTTGTCCTGAAACAGACAAGGAGCCCAGGTGAATCCATCCCCTATAAACAGCCCTCGGCCTGCCCCCCAGACACTCACCTCTTCAAGAAGCCTCGTGACAGCGTCTATGTCATTGTATGTCTTAGTCATCTGGCCAACTCTCTCAGCACAGAGAACTGCAAGAGACAGAAGGGGCAGTGAGATGGCTGATGGCGGGGTCCACGGACACCACAGACCCCACCCACACTGTCCTGGGCATCACTGGGCTCTGCCTCCAGTGACACCGGAATGTGGATTACTAGGAGGCCTGGGGACCCACTGACCATGCAGGCCCAGAAGCATCAACGGTAGCAGCTGCCATTACGATTGTTAAACAACAGTCTTAAGCCAGCAAGTTGATGGACAGACGGACGGACACACACACACACACACACACACACACACACACACACACACACACACACACACACCCCTTCTCCCTGACCGGCCTGAATGTTAAATGTGTGCGGTTTCCGTATCAGCAGCAGTCGGGTACTAGCCTTTGAAAATCCGCCCCACAAACATGGCTGCTGCACGCACACACGCACACCACGCATTGTTTCATTACACGCCCAGCTCACCGCGTCGCTGGCGAACCACTTCAGGACTGTGCCTTCTCAGTCCCCTTCTCCTGGTGGAGGAAGGCTTCAGTCTCCTGAAGTGTCTAGGGTCGCTTTACTTCAGATCAACGGCAAGGGACTGATGGCTCGATGCACACCCAAGTCTTAGGACTTTCCTCCCTCTGTGACCGTATTTGGATTTAGGGCCAATGAGGAAGAGTTTGAAACTGTCACTTTGGATTAAATAGAAGTATCCTAAAGAGTAGAAGCTTTTCGGTTGGTAACACAGCAAACACGAGGATCCAGGCTCCACCCCAGAACCCATGCTTTAAGTGGGGGAAAAAAAGAACCCAGGCACAGTGGTATCAGTTTGTAATCCTCGTGCTGAAGACAGGGAGGATACTGGACATTGACCTCTGACCTCCACAAGCACCCCCCCCCCGAGCGCACACACAGGCACGCACACCTTCACAGTGATGCTATGTAATTCTATGTAACACAGACCCTGGAGAATAATTCTATTATGAGTGAAAGCTCTCTTAATGACCCACGTTCTCCGGGAGCTCGTGAGAGGCACTTGGGACCCACAGCCTCTCACCCACCAAGTCACACCCTGAGCCTTGCTAGAGAGCTGCTGCTGGAATTCAGTAGGCTCTAAATATTTTAGTAGTGCAAGCAGAGCTGATCCTAGAGATGAGCTCAGAGAAACCTGACCTGCTGGCATGATTTCTTAGCTCAGGGGAGCCTGAAATCTGGTTTCCAATCTGAGGTATCAGGGCAAGAGCCAGGTGCCCTCCGCACCCTCTGCACAGCCGGCCCTTCCTCCAGGCCCCTCCCTCCGCCTTCGGGGGAGCAGACGCTGCCCGGCTCTGGAGCCTTCCCCCTTGTCTGGGCGTTGGTCAGCATGGGGGTGGCAGGGAGGTGTGTAAGGGAGGGTTTACACCTACGCTAATTTGACGTCCATGGACTCCAGCTCGAGGTCCTGGACGGTTCAGTGCTTCAAGTCAACAAGTCGTCTCTGTGTGGAGACTGCCGTGCCAGTAGTGGAGCTGTTCTCCTGAGCAGCTGCAAGGTTCCACACACGGAGGAGGAAAAGGCCCAGTGTGCGGCAGTTCCACCGTTTACACTAGGGGCACCAGGGACACGCCACAGGACTCAGGCCACTGACTGAGCCCAACTACCCAGGTAAAAAACTACCACTTGCTCTAAGCAAGGACTATATGAAGTATTTCAGTGTTTCTCTCTCCCTCTGTCTCTCCTCTGTTTCTCCCCCCTCTCTCTCACACATACACACACACTGATAGAAAGGAAAAGGAAAACAGAGCAACCACAAAAACACCAACATTTGCATAGGAACACAGGTTTAAATTTCTCCTTTGTGCTTTAAAATGATTCCAAAAGTAACTATAGTAATGCTATACTAGGAAGGGAAATAAACGTTTTCCAGGAAATATACAGTTGGCTAACGTAAGGACGTGGGACCTGAGCTGGCTTTTAAGACAAATTAATAACAGTGGAACAAAAATGCATCTTGCCCGGGTGCAGCCAGTGAGACGCCGACCACATTTGAACACGGCGCACAGATCAATCAAGGCTGCTCTGTCGCCTTTACTGAGCATGCTCACCAAGGTCAGGCACTGACCACACCTGGCTGTGTAGCTCATGCAATCCTCAGAGCGGCTCAGAGGTGGCTACTCACTCACACTGTTTCACAAATCAGAGCCACTAAGTAACTTGCCAGGCATCACACAGCTGGGAGCTGCAGAGGGCAGTGCAGGATGGACCCAGGAGGGCAGCAGCCAAGCTCCGTGTCTGGGAAGTTGGACCCTTTCCCATCGGCCCTTCCCAGCAACCCTGGAGGTGACACTTCTCCACGGAGAACTTTCTACAGCGGTCGTACTTGGGTTTTGCTTGGCTGAGTTTACTGAGTATATACACCCAGCCACAGTGAGAGTGTGAGCAGGAGCCAGCATCGTCAAACTGGGCACTTACAGAACCCAGCAGAAAACAACCGGGGGCGCTGAGGCAGCCAGTGGCTTTGCATCCCCACTGTAGGCACTTTTACACCACACTACACGTGACGGCAACCTTTGTTAGAGACGGCTTCTGTCTGCAATGGCACAACGCATTCACTCTTGGGATACTGAAGTTTTTCTCTTCCCTCCCCACCGCAGAGCAGGGGGTCGACTCACAGCCAGACAAGGGGCCTTGGAGGACACCCGGGCTTCCAGAGCCAGCTCCTCTGTGGGTTCACACAACACATAATGATTTGCTCACATAATGTACATCACAACTCCAAGAGAATGAGGTTGCACTGTAGCAACAGAACCTTGGCCAGGGACAAGGACAGAGCAAGCCGGGGCCAGGACACAGCAGCAGTGCTCGGAACCTGCACAGCAGAGGGGAGAGCATGGAAGGTGGGGGAGGGGGGAACCCCAGGTCCCAGGCAGGCTCCCTAATCGCTGGGTCTTTGGTTGAGAGGGCGGAGCAAGAGTAAGGAGACAGAGGGAAGACCAGGGCTACCTGTAAGATTCAAGGGGACTAAACAAGGGCTACGCTTTTCAAGATCCACTTCCTACATATGACACACCATGAGCTTGGATCAGGTTTCTTTCCACAGGGCCCCAGACCATGCTATCAAATAAATGCATTTCCATCCCCAAACTGTGCCCAAAGAGAAGGTACAGAGGCGGCTACGAATCTCCATAACAATGAATGCGGGTATTTCCATGTACCGCACATGGAAATACAAACTCAGTTTCCATGGTACAACGGAAGACTATGGTCCAAATACTAACAAACACGTTAACTGTATCCTGCACCAGACAGCCAGGTGGACATATAGTAAACACTCTCTGTCTTTCGTACTATCACCAGTCCTAAGTGATGCCGTCACCCTGCCTTAGCCTCATGACCCACTTGGGGTGCGCAGGAAATAGGTCAACTTAGGAGAGACACTGGAGATAAACAGTTTGAAGGGCCCAGGGGTGCAAGCTGGGACTGTTAGCTAGGCATAGAAGCACGCACCTGTGATGGAGCGTGCAGGTTAGCCAGGCCTACACAGTGAGACCCTATCCTCCGCCTGTCCCCAGAAGCTGAGGAGTCTGGACGTATAGGCCAACAGAAAACCACTAAGGAGTCTCCACAGGGAAGCATCAGTGTGTGGTTGTTATCTCGGAAAACATTCTGGACCAGTGTGGAAGGATTGGGTGTGAGGCCGAGAGCAAGCCCAGTGACCTGTGTTAAACCTGCTGGATTCTTCCAGAGGGCTCCTTCCCGGGTGACAGTAAATGAACTCCTTCAAGGGGGGGGGTGGAGTGGGGGGGGGGACTGCTAGATAAGGCCAAGTAGGAGGTAGAGCGGAGCGTAGGCTCTTCCTTCTGGCTGGGACACAGCCAGCAAGAGCAATCCCTCCCTCCCTGATCAGTAGCAGGATAGGCTGTCAATGAAACCGATGGCCTGGGGACGGTCACGGCACTGTAGAGGGGGTTCTGAGCACAGTACTAACCACCGCCAGAACAGGAGCAGGTCCAGGGAGAGCGGTGCCTCTTCCAAGGAGCTGCCCGGGCTGTACTGCACTTGGGAGAATTCCACCCTGAAGGGCTGGACGAGACCAAGGCTTGGGGACTAGCCCTGGGCTGGCTGACCAGAGCAAGGGACATCTAGGACTAGGTTGGGGTTCTAAAGGCTTCTGGGATCCAAAAGTCAACGTGTAATATTTATATAAATTAAGACCAGATGATTTTAGGAATACATGCTGCAGACCCCACCTCCCCCACCAAACCCAAAGCATCTGTGTGGGTTAGGACTTAGGGACAAGACCTGACTGGCAGGAAACTCAGGAGTGACCTTGGCTGACGCTACTAGGGAAGGCAGCAATGGCGGCTGGGGTCACTGGGTCAGGAGTCGGAAAACTGAAGAAGGGGGTACAAACTAGATGCTGGCTGACAAAGGCTAGAGCAGGCAGCAGCAAGTTGAGGTGCTGGGGAGCAAGAGTAGAGAGGCGGCACACCGAGGGTGGGGTAGGCAGCGAGGAACTCACAGATCCCTCATTGCCACCAGCCTTTCCCGAGGCACCCTCTTCACCATTAACGAGCCTGGCAAGCTCCTTGACACTGCGGCCTGATGGGCTGTCTTAGAGTTGGGAGACCCCATCCTTCATCCGTGGGATGACTACGTGGCTGCCGTCACTTCTCCGCCTGGCTCCGAAAACACCGCCACCGCCACCACCGGTCAGTGTCGGCGTCTGTGTGTTTTGGGCATGAATACATAAGTGAGTATTTTACACATATGCACACGGGTGTGCATGCATGTGTGTACGTGTGGGCATGTCAACAAAGGTAGTCCTAACCCTCAAGAAAATGCCGCTGCTTCCTCCTAACTCAAAGACCATGCAGCCAACAGCCATGAATGAAGGCTATTCAGGACCGCCGGCCAAATCTGCACGTGGGGCTGCCAGGACCCTGCCTTAAGTTTAGGTCGCTTAACTAAAGCATGCTTTCCACAAAGAGTGCTTTTCCACCTTATCATCACCATCTACACCTTACAAAAGTATAAGGAGTGCAGGCCGGCCGGCA